AAAGGAGAATTGAGAATAAATATTTTTTTTTTATTTAAAAAAAAATGTATTATTTTTTATGTCAACAGACAAAAGTTTTCATTTTGAATGTTTGGTTAAACTACTTCCTTAAACAAAACTTTGAATTCAGTCACTTTCTTTCTTTCATGTCTACTATTGTCCTTTTTGCTTAAGAATTTTTCTTTAGATTATTTCCATTGTTAAACGGAACGTTCCCATTCCAGAGTAAAAGATATATTCAAAAAAAAAAAAAGAAGGATTATTTAGAATTCAAAATACTTATAACAAAAGCTCTAATTTTTAATTTGTGTTTAAAGATACATACATACTTATTTTTTCATTTTCTTTTTCATAACTATAAGATAGTCATTAAAAAATTACAGAACAACACTTAGACTTTTAAATGAATAGTTTTTTCTAATCGCATACTTAACTTAGAAATATTTTGATTTTTTTTATAATAAATTTATACCAAGTGTACCTATCTAGAAAAATTTAAACAGAGAATTTTACTATAAGTAATGGTGTAACACAAGGAAATATACCATCTACTATCATGCTGCGCTAACGATAGCGCGAATACGATAAGAACCGAACATACTTCAACCGATCTGCTGTTTATTGTATTGATTAACTAACAAAAATATATATAAAGATATTGCTATCCACGACATAAATCATTGTCTAACGACAGCTAACAAAGTATACTATACTCACCAAAAAAATTTTTAATAAAGACTCATATCCTGTCAATGCTTTAAAGCTCTAAACCTATAAATAAATCTGTTTATAGGTTTTTATTAGGTGGATTTAAGAAGACTATAAAAACCATAACAAACTACTGCCATTTAAATATAAGACACATACGAAGATATCATATAATAATATTTTTGCTAAAAATAATATACAATCTCTGTTCTTGTTTTTTTTTTTGGCACTGAAGCTTATAAATATTTAAGCATACACTGTAGAAAACAATCAATTTGGAATTCTTACGAATAGTGCTGCGTTATGAGTCTCAAAAGTGCTTTACTAAAGTACTTTAAATGTAATATATATAAAAATTAATGAAATAGTATATATATATTCAACAGTTAACATATCATAAAGTGTTTTCTAATTTTAATACGGATTATTAGATTCAAAATATTACCTTTTAAAATGTGAGGTGGATGGATTTCAAATTGTTATTTGAAATATGTTAGTGAATGAGTTCATTTTTGTGAGATATATTCACTTAATAGAAAGCCAAAATATTAAATCAAATATTAATGTATTTCGAATATTTTAATGACTATTATGTTGTCAAATATTTATTGATTTTGAAATAATTTACAAGCTCAACCTTATTAAATTGTAAATACTTCTTTTAATAATAAAAAAGAAAAAATTAGTATTAATAAACAATAAAAAAGTTTCTAACTTTCTTTTTAAATATTCGAAAACATTATTTATTTTTAGTATTAATATTTTGATTTATAACAATTATATATAAACCAAAAGAAGAACCAATCTAATTAATAAAATATAGAATAAAAAACTTTTGAGAAGAAAATAAAGTTTTATTAAAAAATTTATATTGCTTTACCAATATATATTTCGTTCGCAATTGCCGTTTTAAATACAAAACTGAAACATCCAAATGTTTTAAATAAACAAATTCAAACATAATACTCAGTAATGAAGTATAAATCAATTATTTAATTATTTGAAAATGAAATGAAACAACAAAAATTTTCGTTTAACAAAACATTTGTAGTTGCAATATATAAAAATTATGCTATTAAACAAATAAATGAAATATTTCACGCATAGATTCTAAATATAAAATTTTATTTTTCTCAAAATTTATATATACCGATTTATTACAATTTCACTATATAAACATAAATGATTCAAAAATAAATAATCTTAAATATTACTTTCAATGTATTTTATTTTCAAAAAAAACTGCAGGTCGATATTTGGAAATTTATTTAATAAATATTACTTATATGAAATACACTTCAATTTGAAGTAATAGAAACTTAAAAATTAATATTGTAAATTACAAAGTATCTACATTGGCTAATGTTTAGCAAAAGTGTTGCATAAATTAACTTTTCAGCTTAGATTGAAATGGAGGACCTAAGCCATACCTAACCCATGCACACAAAAGCTCACTTGGTCATAAATAATGGCCCTTTATCATACCCTAATTAAAAGCGTTACTTATACGTTAGACCAAAATGTCTATTCAAATATCTAAAAACAGTCTGCGCAGGGGCAACTTCGAAAATAATAGGTACAACTCTCCCATTTACGTAAAGTCTAACAAAAGCAATCTAACAGATCAATAAAATTGTCTATATCCTTTTAAAGAATAGTAGCACTGTCAGGACGGTTAAAAAAAGTATTCCAAAGATATTAAGTCTTCTACTCATCAAAGACGGATACTAAACCTAAGATACAAAACAGTTCCTCCTTTTTTCCAGAACTATAGCCATGACAACAGTCATTATGGGATAGACTAACTCTCATTGCATGTCTCTGTAATATACAGCGACCAGTCAAACCCATTGTGCTGTGTATGTTTCACTTTAGTTGTAGCAACTACCTGGTACATTTATTGCCTACATTGGATTGAGTCTAATAAGAATTCTCGTCTATTCCCATTGCAAATAGGGTACCGATGTTCTGGGAGTGAATTTCAGAAACTGACGTGCTTGGTTTGGCATCTCGTCGTCAGTAACAGTATTTTTTAGTATTTTTACATTAATTGCAAAATTTTTTAATAAAATCTCAATTACTGCATGACATATGATACGTTTACCAATTAATAAATGAACGGACAAAAAGAAAGATGATAAATACTGCATTTAGCTTGGTATATTGGTGAAAATGCAGTGAAAACTCTCTTCATGGGGCACCGACGGGTCTAGTTGATTTATTCGGTCAAGAAAAGTTTCAATTTAAAACAACATATATTATGCCAAATATGAAAACTAGCGCTAGATAAGCAGCATTCCGTAAAGTTAAGAGAGATATCTATTTATAACAGAATCCGAGATTATACTGCAGACAGTTTATATAAAATAATCTACATTAACTTCTCTGCTATGTTACAAAATTACGGATAACCATTATTCACGATAGAGAGGTGGGTTAAAAACTGTATTGTAATTAAGATATAGCATTTAGATCAATAAAACTGACATTATATGTATTATAAAGTAAACAATTTTAATTAAAAAAATTTTTTTTTAAAATCTCTTTATGAATATTTACTATAGATTCGTAATTATCAGGGCAATTTCATATATAAAAGTGCACTAATCAAAATAATACAGTACTTTGTATCAAAAACAAATGCATTGCTTTTTTTTTCTTTATTTCTTGACATAATTTCTTTTCAAACTTAAATTTTATTTAAATAAATACAAATATTTTGCAATTTATTACTGTCACATTACCCAAAATGATTTTATATTTATACTATGGGCTGCCCCAGTCTGCGAATATATGCCAAAATACATATGTAATTCGAAAACAAATTTATGACGTTAATAACAAAACTATTTATATACGGAGACACTATAGAAATTTAATTGTTTTGACAATTTCCATATGATTTTACTGTAAATTTAAAAGTAAATAGTAACGAATACTTAATAATCAAGTTTTGTTATAATAAATATTTTAAGAACTCCGAATTCTCTTTTAGAAGAATGCCAATAGATCTATTCGGGTACTGCATACTCTCTGACTTTTATTAATAAGGATGTAACTAATTATAGTATGCTGACATATAGCTCAGGGAGATGGGATTTGAGGTGCTCAAGCCGGTTTGATTGAAAGGACTATATGTATATTATATGCTCATATTTTTATAATTGCATCATGGCATAACTGAATGCACCCAAAATAACTTACTGGCAGCGGGCCTTATAAAATGTATATTACTATCAAATATTCCTCTCAATTATTTATAAGATAAATAAATTTTTCTGCTGTCCTCAATTTTGTGCTGTTCCGGTTGTTCCAGAGCCATGAGACCTATTTCCGATCTTCACTTTATCTATTTCAAATTGTTACACTTTCTAATCAATTAATTGATATTTTATTGTTTTACTACAATCTTATTGATAATAATTTTTTGGTTTTTATAAGAAAATGTGGACAACCTAAGATGCTTTCAATTGATATTTTTATTATATATTAACAATATATTATTACATGAAGAAATCGATTCTTCTTAGAAAATATAACAAAAGAGTTAAATTATTTTAAATTTTAAAAGTCCAACCATAGATTGCGTGTTGGTCACATTTGTTTGGCACGTACGTATGTTATGATCATCCCACAAAAAAAAGGCTACAGCAGCTAATTAATATTGCTCATCATATGATGTTCTGTTGAATCGCCCTACGAACTACTACCGTATCTATACTATAAGAAAAGAAGAAAGTGTTTTTTATTTGTTCTGTCACTACATTCGCCATAATGTACATAAATACTCTAGGGCCTTCCTCTTTCAAATGTCTTTTCGCTATCATATTATAGACATTGAAGATATTGCCTATTTTATTTATGCGGCAAAGTGGTTTCCAAGTCCATATTAGAGGTTTCTTTACCTCTGTTTCTAGAACAATTAACTTGCCCTTTGAAGTAGCGCGTCACAATTACTCCACTCTTAAGACCTAAGTGACCCTTCTTTCTACAAGTCAGGCTACCACTTCTATATCAACCTATCATTAGTAATAAAAATTTATAAATAATTTAAATAAAAGTAAATAGATTGTAGGATCAAGTCTCAAGTGAAATGTATTCTAATAAAATCGTTAATCCAAACTATAATTCTCACACCCGCTCGATTGTAAAATTTTTTAAGTTTATTTATTTTAAATTTGTTACACATTTAATACTAAAAAACTGTTCTTTATTTTAATATTTATTGAACATACTTAACTGCAAAGTGATTGACATTTAATATTAACTTACAATTTATATTTGCTTTACAGCGCATTCCTTACATTTTCTTTACTTTTGAAAGAGGATGACTGCTGAAGTAATGGCGACAGACACAAATTGGGATCCTGGTAAGCAAATTGTTTTATATACTATAAAATGCTGTTTTATAAATGCTGAGTAAAATTGAAAAAAAAAATTAATATCAAAAATAACATGACTATTTTTCGGTATCTGTTGCAGAAAGTATGACAGTCATGAAACATTTAAAAAATTGTTAGCTTTTTGAACACGAAAGTTCAGATAAAGGCACTATAGTGTAGGTAGTGTATTTTATTCGTAGGAACTAAATAAATCTTTCTACTATAAGTTTCCAAAACATTGTAGTGTTTTTCAGGCGGAAGTGGTCGCCATAAGAGAAACTATAACTTGTCTGACAGTGGATGATACATATAACAATAATATATACATTCTAGCAGAGAAGTCAAGCTGCTTTAAAGTCTTTGAGTTCAGTCCAATTAACATATATGACAATTTTTGACCGCTACACATCTCTAAACGAGATGTCAACGCAGCTCAAAGTTTCTTAAATCTGGGTTCCCAGTCATAGGAATATATTCGGCATTATATATTTAATACCCTAGTTTTTATACCTTAATTGAATTTTATATTCAAATTTTATAAATTTTAATACCTTCATGTATGAACTCCTAAACTTGCGTTCCTATGTATTATTCTTTATAACAAGTGTTAACATATAACTATACGCGTAACAACTTATATATAATATATTTTGGAAAACTTATGCAGTTATTTTCATTTATCGTAACTCTTTTCATTTTTTCAGCATTATCTAAACTTATTTCGTCACTAAAAGAAGCTGAAAGTCTTTCCAATGATCAAGAAATAGATTTCCTTAAAAATTTACTTGAATCAAAAGAACTGAATGCTTTAGTTAATGTACATACAAAAGTAGTAAAGGTTGGAAGAGATGACCGCTTGGCTCCAATCTTATCAACATCTGGTCAAGTAAGTATATTTCTACCTATTTAAATGTTAAATATCATATTATTATATAAATGTATTAATTTGATGGTTTTAGATATTGTTTGAAGTACTGGAACAGTTATCACAACGTTGCCACTTAAATGATGACTGCAAAGAAGCATTTCATTTGCTACAGGGACCATACCTTCAAGTAAAGTTGCACTAAGTGTTCATAAGAAACGCTTCATCTTATTATTAATAATATTTTTTTTTTTTACTTGTAATATTTTTTTTATTGTTAATATCGATTTAAATGTTTTGTTTGCAGAGTTTGCTTTATGCACACGATGCAATTGCTCAAAAGGACTTTTATCCGCATCTACCGGATATACCCATCGAAATGGATGAAGATGAGGAAACAATTAAAATTGTGCAACTAGTAAAAAGCAATGAACCTTTAGTGAGTAAATTCTTCGTACTTTTTGTTAACAATTTTTATTTTCAATATTGCTTTTCTGTGCAAAATTACCGCAACGTTCATCTCATGCTGCATTCATGAATCATCTTTTGTTCTTAGTCCATTTATTTTATTTTTACGCCATTGTTTAGGCTACTGCTTTGTATGTCTATGCCTTACGATGAACAATTGTTCAGTTTTATATCCCTTGAAAATATTCAGTTTTATCAATTAACTTACCTTCGAGAATGATTTTTTTAAATTTATTACATCGTTTTCTAAAATTTTTTAACTCAAATTAATTTTTTATTAATCAGTACATCTTATTATTATATCAATATTTAATTATTTGTCTTCATATAAATATATACATAAATTTGTTTACTATTTGAAAGCATCTGATATTTAAATATTTTTATTATTATTTTATATGAAATAAAATTTGATTAAGAATTGTTTCTGTCAAGATTTCTTATATTGTTGTATGCAATACAGGGTTATCCATTTTATGGCTCCAAAAGTAAACGGATACAAGTCACTCTCTTGATTCATATGACTTCGATTAAACTTTTATTTCAATATATTATTTGAACGTGCCATGGAATATCTCACGGCACTGAATCGTTTTGAAGTAATACTCAGTGACTTCTCGGTAAAAATCCAACAATAGCTCAGCTGTAACTTAATGGTTGCTCATTTTTAAAGTATTGGAATTTTGGGGATTGTTCTCATAAACACTATCCTTTCCTTAACTCCACTGTTTTAAATGGCATTTTAACAAATCAAATGATTTCGACAACCAATTCACATCTTCATGACGTGACTTATACGTCTGGAGAATTTTTTAGAACGTGTTGTGTGGCTTGTGGTACCATTATGTTTAAAATACATATCTTCCTCATCAGTATTTTGAATTTGACTTTAAAGAAGATTTTTAATAATATGACTATAGCAAATAAAATTAATATTTTTAGTCACATCTTCATGATTATAAAAAATTATGCACCGACAGAAGCTGATAAAAGTAAGTTTGAAATATTCCAGTTTTTAATTAGTCATTCCAGTTTTTAATTAATTTCCAAAAACTTCATATTAAATAATTCTTTATGTACGATACTGCGTGCCAGACCTATTAAATCTTCAGACCAACTGCACACAAGCTCCACACAGTGCCTTTTTGTAGAATGTACTTGTACCTTTTTGCATCTTTGTCTTGTGAATGTTCCATACCAGAAATGGAATAATTTGATTGTTGACATATCTAATAATAAAAAATGAGCCTGGAGAAAACTTAAAGTTAGTAACGTAACACAAGTTACGATATTGTACACAATGATAAGTTTTTACAATGTTTCGCGATTGTTAAACGATTCCTATTGCAAAATGGCAAACCTTGAATTTAAAATTTAAGGAATATAACGTGGAGCCAGGTGCACAGAATGGATGACCCTTTATTAATTTAAATTAAATAAATGCTTTTTATTTTATAAAATTTTTTTTCATTGGTATGTATATTGAATTTAATTTATGTTTATTTTAGTATAATTGATACATTTATCATATATTTTCAATATGCTTATATCATACACAAATCAAGTTATTACTACTAATGTAGATAATATGCAAATAATTTTTATTATTTAATTGATATTGATTAATATTATTGAACAAAAAATATTAAAAACTGAAATATTAAAAAGAAATGAATGTGCAAAAATTTATTATTGATTTAAAATATTTTTTTTTTATATTATATAATATAGATTTATATTTATGTTTTTTGCAAAAACTGAATTTTGATTAGTCATAGAATAAATATATTTTTTCTTAATGTCTGTTGATTTTTATTTAACATTTTAATAAAATATATGAAAATTTATATTTTTATATAATTTAAATTGTTTTTTCTTTTTTAATTTTAAATTGTATTTCTAATACATAACTTATGAATATATTTACATATATATATAGTTATATTAAATTTGAAAGCATTATATACGATATTAAGCTGAACTCTTTACCTTTCACCTCATATTTACATCGCCGTTATTGCTCAAACTACTCTGTATGATTCTATAGTAATTTTATAAAATAAGCTTCAAACAATTTTTTTAAAAAAATATCTATTTTATATACTGTAAATTGTTAATTAAAAATTGTGTGTCATAATAATTGCAATTACGAATTTATTTAAAATTGTACAATTCAAAAAAATCACAGTCAGGAGCACAAAGTGCGGAACCAATTGTTGTAAGTAAATGTCCTTTTTACCAATTAAAATTAAAAACCTGTAATTATGTGTCTGCACCTCAAATACATGCACACATTAATATGTATAAACACAAACATATACATATACATACAATCATACATACAAACAAAATTCTTAACATTTTCACTCTTTATGTAAATCTACTATCCTTTCTGAATCCTTTTGAATTTTGCAAAATGCATAAATGTTGTGTACTTACGTTTTTAACCTCGTATTTGATATATGGCAAATCATTTATTTTAAACACATATATGTAAATAACAGTTTATTGAAATTGCAGTAGTTGTTAGTTTGTTGAAATAAGAATATTATTACTTTCTTTTCGATGTTGAAGAATAAAACTCCCTTAAAGCTTTTCTTTTTTGACATGATTTCAACAGGGTGTAGGTCCATAAGACTTTTGTGCACACTACGACCTTGGATTGATCTGTTCTATCTCTTGTAAAGCACATAGAATTCTTAGATTTTGTTAACAAAACATACCAGTCTCTTGAATTGTATTACCTGAAAGTGCATTTCTATCAGATCCCGCTTTCCAATCACCAACTATCTAACCTAAAAAAATATATCTTTCAATAAGATGCTTAATTATAACTTTATTATCATATAGGTAACTGCATTTGTCTATATCTCAGATGCCTAATTTATGCAGTTGAAAGTTTCAGGTACAACGCCTTGTGGTGGCTCCATATAGGATTCTTAAATCTTAACTTTAAATTCGCAACTCGTCTTCTTTTTTAATTATGTTGAGGAATAAGTGTTTCCCTGTAACAAGTGAATCTTTATTGTTCAGATAACAGTTTGCTCCATAACATTGATGTACCGCTGTTGAGTTAAAAAAGTGGAAGTAGTATACATAGAATGAAATACGTTAGTTCCTAGATTTATATGGTATATTTATTTATTATTACGTCCACATACACAATACCATTTGATGTTTTTTTGTTCATTCTTAAATAAAATATTTTTATCTGTTAAAGATGTTACACTTAAAGCGAATACAATTTTCTTTGATTTAAATTGTATATATTTTATTCATCACAAAAAAATCATATGATACTTTAAAAACAATTAATAAAAATTTGAATCTCTCGGATTTACTCTGCTAGTCGCCAGTAAACGAACAATTTCAGACTTTACAGGATCTTATGCATGCAGTCATATTTTATTGAACCTTAACAAAGAATTTAAACTAATTATTTTGTTCAATAATATCATAATATTAGTTTATAAATTTATAACAAAATAAATTTATAAGTATTTTTCCTAACGAAGAAATGGGCAAATCTCAAGACCTTTTCCTATAACCTAATTACCTTAGCTGTCTCTATTTAATTAAACTAAGTAATAAAGAGTATTACAATTTATCTGCTTCTTAACATCTTTGTGTTACTTATTGAAGTTAAATAAATTAGTATCTAATATCTTAAATTTTTAAATTTACTACATACCATAAAATCTATACTACTTCCTTACTTAAACTTTTTCACAATATATAACTTTTGACAAAATTCTGCGCACTAATAGCTCATATAAAATGAAATTTTCGATATAGGTTCTTAATAAAAAAAAAACAATATATCTATTATAATATAATTTAATTATTTATTGTATTCTATGTTGTAACTTTTGTGTAAAATTCTTTGTTAGATTGACAAAAATTCGATAATACATATGTTTTCAACTTTATAACGTTTTCTCTTACTTTCTCTGAAATATCTCTACAAAATCTTGATGAAACTTTTAAACACATACATATATATATTTACAGGGTGCTACAATCAAAACTGATGAAGATACTGGTAAGATAATAATAGCTAGAATAATGCATGGAGGAGCCGCTGATCGCTCTGGACTAATACATGTTGGTGATGAAGTAATTGAAGTAAATGGCATTAATGTGGAAGGTAAAACACCAGGAGACGTGCTAACGATATTGGTATTGTTTTTAATTTTTATAGAAAAATATTAATATATATTAATAAAATCAAATATTTTTTACAGCAAAACTCAGAAGGTACAATTACCTTCAAACTTGTACCCTCCGATGGCAAAGGTGGCCAACGTGAATCAAAAGTGCGCGTTCGTTCACATTTCAATTATAATCCAGAAATAGATCCATATATACCATGTAAAGAAGCAGGTCTAGCATTTCAACGTGGAGATATTTTGCACATTGTGGCACAGGTAATCATTCATCGGCTAATAAGTATAGTAAATATATCATAAACCATTATGTATTTCAGGATGATGCATATTGGTGGCAGGCGCGAAAAGAATCTGAACGTACTGCACGAGCTGGTTTAATACCCAGTCGAGCATTGCAGGAACGTCGCATACTTCATGAACGCTCCCAACGTGAACCCAATGATAGTGAATCAAAAAGTAAGCGCCGTCCGAACTCCTATGAGAATATAATTCATTTTTCAGTAATTTGCAAGTTTTTATTATTAATAAATTAATAATTATTATCTATATATGGTAAATACTCAATTGCATGTATTAACTATCGATATTCTATGAACTTGAATGAATTTTTTTTAACTTTTCTTACTAAAAACGATCATAAATTTTGCATCTTCACTTAACATATATCATCAGAAGGCTCATGCGCTTCCATTTGCACTACCCCGCCTGGCTCACCCATGTTACATTCTAGTAGTAGCACATCTTCATGTCGTCAGCCAAAAACTAAAAAAATCATGTACGATTTAACAGAGAATGATGACTTTGATCGTGAAATGATTGCTACCTATGAAGAAGTTGCCAAACTATATCCACGTCCAGGTGTTTATCGTCCAGTTGTTTTAATTGGTGCACCTGGTGTAGGTCGTAATGAATTACGAAGACGTCTAATAGCAAGAGATCCTGAGAAGTTTCGTAGTCCAGTGCCATGTAAGTATTAAATCTAATATATTCTACATATAACAGTTTCATTTAGAACTTACTATATGATATTAATTTACATTTAGATACAACACGTCCAATGCGTACTGGTGAAGTTGCTGGTCGTGAGTATATATTTGTGACGCGAGAAAAAATGGAAACAGAAATAGAGGAAGGCAAATTTGTGGAACATGGTGAATACAAAGGACATTTGTATGGTACCTCCGGTGAGAGTGTAAAGTCAATTGTCAATGCAGGCTGTGTCTGTGTACTGAGTCCACATTATCAAGCAATAAAAACTTTACGGACGGTACAATTAAAACCATTTATGATACATATAAAACCACCGGAACTAGAATTATTAAAAAAAACACGTACTGATGCTAGAGCCAAATCTACATTCGATGAAGCAAATGCGAGAAGTTTTACGGTAAGCTTAAATATATAGTGTAAAAGCTTCCATTCTTGTTTGAACTTTTGCAAAACTTACTACAAAGAACGTATTAACACGATATTTGCTTTGCCATGAAACTTAAAAACTATAAAAGCTTTTAAAACTATGGTTGCCAATCTTTCAAACAAAATTAATATTTTTTCGAAAATTTTTCATATAATATATTGTTACATTGTTATTTACAATATATTGTTAAAATTTATTTATATGTGAGTTAACACTAAAATTAAGTTAACACTAAATTTGAGCCAGTGTATTTGAGCACTTTTACTCTTTCTTAACTCGAGGTATTTTCAAAACCCCTCTTTACGCCTTGACTATTTTATTGTTTATCACTTCATCAGACTAAGCAATAATTGACCTCAGATCTTCATACCTCCCCGAGGAGCCTTTATTATATTATTATTGTTATAATGATATATTGTTATATTGTTAAAAAAAAGTGTTGCCTATTAGGCTCGTATCACTGGCTTTTATAATTGAGATACTCTTTATTCTGTCTATTTATTTTCCCTAGATATTTACCACTAAAACCAAACTCCTTCTTCTAATGTAATCATTTCCTTCTAATACTTGTCAGTTAAAACTGTCTACTGCGATATGGTGTATCTTAAATGCATAACAATATAATATATTTTTTAATTGTATTCTTTTAACTTAATATAAGTATTAAATATATGTAATTTACATTTTAATTAAACAAAATGAACTAACTAACAAAAAAAATATTTATAATATTGACCTGCTAATTCAAAACTTATTACAAATTTCAGGATGAAGAATTTCAAGATATGATAAAATCATCTGAACGTATTGACTTTCTTTACGGACACTTCTTTGACGATGAAATCGTCAATGGAGAACTATTACCAGCCTTTGAAAAATTAGTAATTACTGTGCAGCGAATTGAGAATGAGCCACTGTGGGCACCGGCTACTTGGGTGCAATAAGTAGGATTTAAAAACGATGGTTACAACAATAAAAGACAAACACTGCTATATTAATGCCAAAAATCTTACTTCTTTATAATTTTAATTGTGAGAACATAAACACCAAATTTTAATAATAAATTTATAAAAATGTATACAATATAAAATTAAATTGAACAGCTAAGGCAACACACTACTGAATTTGAATATATAGAAATTTATAATATTAACATTAGAACTGTATATATACAATATATCAAGTATTCACAAATCTTAAGATATTTATTTTAAGTAAATATGTTGTTTTTTGTTTATTTTTCTATTAATAATAAAAGAGGTTTCAAATTAATTTAAAAAATTGTTGGAAATGTTTAATAAATTGAAATGAAAAGTCAATCATTTCTCAAAATTTTTCTCAAAAAATTTAGTTAAATATAAAATATTTCATGGTTCAATAACTTTTAACAAAGCTAAAAAGTAGATGCCGCGTATATTCAAACTTTTCATGCTTTTAAATAAGATGGCTTAGCTTTTTATTTAGGCCTCACTTGGTAGATAGTAGTTGCAATCCCTAAAAATAATTGTTTGAAAAAAGCCTATACATATAGCTAAACCTTCGTATTAAGGTTATTAATTAAAATCAATATCAGTTCATAATAAATTTATCGATTAGATATAATCAACATTGAACTAAACTCTTTCACTAATAATAATAAATTTGCTTCGCTTGATATTTAAGTATCAATCGAGTAAAAATAACATAATTAAAAAAATTTTATTACACTTTTAATTCTTATTTAATTTAATTTATTTATTTAAATTATTACTTAAATATTCTTATTTAATTTTTATTATTATTAATATTTATAATTTTCAACAAGAATTTTTTTAAATTAAATTGTGAATACTTTTAACTACAATATATTTAATATATCGACTTGCAGAGCTCTATTAAAACTAAAATCAAAATAGTTAATTAAGTGTTGCCAATAAGCTTATAACAACTTTTGAGTTAATGTTTTTATTAATGTATTTATATAAATATAATTCTAAAATTATTTAAATATACATTGATTAATATTCTAAATTATATTAATATAAATCCTAAATAGCGTTGAATAATTGACACAAAATGATATGTACGTACCTATTTCCAAAATTATTACAATGAAAAGAATACAATAAGTAAATTGTTTAAAAGAAACTGTTATATATATTAAAAACCAAAACTAGAAAGCCCCTATACGAAAGCGTTTGTCCAATATATAAATATATATTTATATAATAAAATAGAATAATATATATAATTAATTATATATGAATATAATTTAAAATCTATATTAAATGTTAAATCATATATATTTGTTAATATATGAACATTTATAATTACTAAACAAAAATAGTTTCTTCTAATATAAATTTGTTAATAATTAAATTAAATTTATTAAGAAATCATATATTGAAATTTAATATTTTTTAATTAATTTCAAATAAATTTTACTCTTTCAATTTCTTAAAAATATTTACTTAATATAAATATTCGTTTTTAAGAAACTGAAGAGATATATTTTTACATATTAAAATAGCAAGACTTTTAAAAATATTTGGAGTATATATTTTATGTTAGTTTCTTAAAATAAATTTATAATTCTTTAATGTGTTCAATTAAATATAATAATGCAAATTATAATATATATTTATTATAATTTCTTTTTTATTTTTCCTTAATAAAAAAATTTAAAGAAAATCGTTTTATGGTTCAACTTTTTATTCAGTGTCTTACATCAGATTTATACGGAATGTATATGTTTTTTATTTATTGTAACTTTACTTATAATACTGTTGACTTTTTTTTTTGAATCTAATATAAATATATTTCCTTTGTATAATAACAAAAATCTTTAGCTCTCATAATAATATTAGTAAATTTTTTTACCTTTCACCAAGCTGATTCAATGTCTTCCAAGCCAAATTGTTTACTGCCAAGAAAATAACTCGACTAATTTCAGTGAATAATCCGCAACATCAATATAATAAGTCCTCTTAAATAGTAGAACTGCTGTTCTGTTGCTTTGCAATCATAGCACAATATCGAAATTAGTTACTATATTGTCTCTATACTACGTCTATAGTATAAAAAACGACATAGTTAGTGCTTTACTTTCATACAAGACAACATAGTTGTGGTTGTAAATTTGTTAGTTCTTTTTGTGCTTTACTTCTTTAGTATACAAGAGAACATGATTATTGTTGCAACTTTGTTGAATGTTTTTTTAAATAATTTTAACAGTTTCGAGTATTTTTTAGTACACTTAATTCAGTTTTATAGATTGTGAATATCCTGAAAGTCACGGTTCAGCTCGAATTTATGACAATAAACGTAAGGAATGAGACCGACCAAACGTCGTACTCATTTAACATGAATCTCTTCACTTTTTTTTGTTTTCGAAAGTAAAATTACTGCCTCGGTAACGACACAGTATTTGCTGGGAAAGCTGCGTCTATAACTCAATCAGTCTACAAAAAGTACGAAGAATTGGCAAAAATAAATTGGCATAGCTATGTGGGACCTACTTTAAAGGCGATTAAATAATTTTGATTGATTCACATTTTCTTTTTTGCTTTATTTAATCTTTTCGGATGCATAGAATGTATGATTATTTATTGAAAAAAAAAATTGTAATTAATATTCTAAGTTTCAACTTCTTAATAAATAAGTACAATATAAAAAAGTAAGAAATTATCATAGTTCGATATATATATAAATACATAATTTTTTATATATTTATATTATAATCCATCTTTATAAAATTTATAAATATGGTTTTATATTATATATATATATATATAACCGTGTAGTGAACAGAATGTATCAACAAGATACGTACTGAAAACACTTTTACTTGCTCGTGGTATTCCTATAACAATATTTTTGTTCTGCACTCTGAAATAATATGAGCAAACCGTATCTAAATTAATTCAAAATTTCAAAATAATTAACAATTTAAAATATTGAGAATTGAGAACTGAGAGCTGAGAACTGAGAATGCGTTTGGAGCTCATACGAAGGGGTTTGCGCTTTTATGAATTTATTTTGGTTTTCATTTGCATTAAAGTGAGCATGTTATTCGGTTGTCTATATATTATTTAGTGGGAATTTGTCGATTAAAGTTACTTAAATATTAATTTACGTACAAATATATTGCTTTAGAAAACGACCTTAAACTTTTAAAATGTCAGGTTTCAATTTAACAAGTTTGGAAGAATGCTTGGATAAATATATTCCCAACGAAGAATTGAAAGAAGTGAAACGAATCTTATACGGACGTGACGATGAGTAAGTTTGATAATATATGAATCTTTAATTTTTTATATATATACACAAATGCATTGTTGTGATTTAGAAATTTGATAGAAAAATTGAAGAGTACCGAACTTATATAACATAGAATGATTTTGTCTAATCAAAATACTTATCTTTTGCTTGTTCTTCAGTACAAAGTAATAATAATTTGATAAGCAAATATCAACAATTCTGCGTATGTTACTTTTAAAGATAATTTATATTTTAAATCTGTTAAATGTTTTGTTTACATATATCTTACTAACACATAGATAAGAGAAGACTATTCATATCTAAAATTATATCCAATCAAAAATAGTTCAATATTTAATTTGATAAATCTTAAAAATTTAATATTTGAAACATTCAATTTAAATTTTTTTTGACATGAAGAAATGTGTTTTTAAACTACAAGTCAAGGGCGCCAAGATACTTAAATGAACGTAATATGCTCTCTCATGCGTTCTAATAAATAATGCATTGTTTACAAATGAGAATTATAAATCTTACTCGAGATCATAGATTAAATGCCAATTGAAAAAAAAACAAAAATAATAATCTAAACTGAAATCGTTTCGGAGTGTAGTTTGTGTTAATTGATTAAATAATGATACTATATATCATTGAACTTAATAAAAAAAAATTCAATACATTGCAATATACTACTTTGGACTTTTTATCTTACAACTATAAATACACATTACATATATGTAAAAAATATTAAATAAAAGTAATCAGAAACGTATTCTAAGGGCACTGTAAACTATCATCTCTTAGAAGCAGGAAGATTTTCATCATTTTCAGTTATAAATTAGTCTTTTCTGCTACCTGTTGAAACAAAATTTTTTCAGACTGAAGCCTTATCGATTATGATGTCGGCAGGTCGGTAATTGCAAACCATATAAATGATAAATGTGAGTTTTCCATTTTCATTGACAGCCAAGCAGCAATTAAAGCACTTAAATCTTTCACCTTTAAATAAAAATTAGTGAGAGAATGTAGGACTAGAATTTGGTGGATTAAATCAACTCACGCATTAATTTATTCATTTCTAGTCATGGGATATCAAAGGGAATGCAAAAGCACACAATTTACCCCTCTTATATGTTTTCATGAAAGTCTGGTTAGAGGTACATATGTATATGTGAAACGATATATATATTTTCATATAGACCGGGGTTTGCTAGACCAGATACGTTTGTGGAACAATACAAATCATTGTACAGATTGGAGGGCCGCAAAAACAAATACGTACGTTCATATAGAAATCACTTCATAGACAATCTGTCAAACTACACATCAGAAAGAACTGGGTGAATCTAGCTTATCTACATAAGTTTTTTATGATTAATATGGTATTAAAACGGATATTAATTGCTTATTATAAGATTTGAAAAGGTGTCTGTGGTTTAGCCACTGAAACCAATCAAGTCCCTTTCAAAGAGAAATCGATAAATATCAATATTGCAGATGCTGTGAAATATAGGGTGATACATCAAATTGTCTTAGCTGCTTGTTTCTGCGACTGTTAGGTAACAAATTCAATACCTCTATCGGGCTTTTAATAAACCTAATAACGTCTTAAGTTTTGAATGAATGGATCATTTTAGGTTTATCAAAAGGTGCACACATAATAATTTAATATTAAATTTATAACTCTGAACCAAACATATGATTCGAAATCCAATAAAAATTGAAATACCATATTTGGTATGTTTTGATGTATCGGATTTAATCCTCCCAATTGACCGTCAAGTTATTTGTTTCCATCTGTATTACACTCTTTTGCTTTCATAAAACTATCTGTAAAAATGAACTATAAAAAGTACATACATTAATGTTCCAAAAACAAGGAACTATTGTTCTAGCCGATGAATGAGAGAAGTTAGATAAAAAAAAATTGGTATTAGATTAATTAATCTATTCATACTATTATTTGTGGACCTATGCTTTAATTAAGAAATTTCTATAAAAACGCTTATCTCTTCTTATATTTTAGCAATGTTCTTCAAATACCAGAGCCAGCAAAAGCTATTGCTGATCAGAATGGTTTTGAAATAAAAGGATTTCGTTTTGCTGCACAGCCTGAACAAATACGGAAACCACGCCTTGTACGAATAGGAGCAATTCAAAATTCTATTGAACTTCCAACAACAGAACCGATCGAAAAACAACGTGAAGCGATTTGGGAAAAAATTCGTAAAATATTAAAGGCGGCAGCTGCAGCAAATGTGAATATAGTATGCATGCAAGAAGCTTGGAGTCTGTATATTTTACTTTTTATTTATTAATAATATTTTGTATAAATATTTCTCTTCGTTTTAGCAATGCCCTTTGCCTTTTGTACCCGTGAAAAATTCCCTTGGTGTGAGTTTGCTGAAGAGGCTGAAAACGGACCAACAACAAAAATGCTGCAAGAACTGGCAAAAGCCTATAACATGGTAATTATATCATCAATACTTGAACGTGACACAGCACATGGTGACACTATTTGGAATACAGCAGTCGTAATATCCAACTCTGGTCGTTATATTGGTAAACATCGCAAAAATCATATACCACGCGTTGGAGATTTTAATGAGTCTACATATTATCATGAGGGTAATACAGGGCACCCAGTATTTGAAACTGCATTTGGTAAAATTGCCATTAATATATGTTATGGACGTCATCATCCACAAAATTGGATGATGTTTGGAATAAATGGTGCTGAAATTGTTTTTAACCCATCTGCAACTGTCGGTGCACTTAGCGAACCGTTATGGGGTATTGAGGCACGTAATGCCGCAATAGCTAACAGTTACTTTACTGTAGCTATTAATCGTGTTGGCAATGAAGAGTTTCCAAATGAATATACTTCTGGTGATGGACAAAAGGCACATAAAGTATTTGGTCCGTTTTATGGATCGACGTACGTTGCCGCACCTAATGGAGCAAGAACACCAGTAAGACATACATTATATTAACAATACATGTCCTTGTTATAAAATAATTTTTTTTTTCATTAAGGGTCTATCACGCGATAAAGATGGCATACTCATAACTGAATTAGATTTAAATCTTTGCAGACAGGTGAAAGATTTTTGGTCCTTCCGAATGACACAGCGTTTACCACTTTATGTTGAATCACTCCAAAAAGCAACAGAGTTAAATTTCCAACCTCAAATTATTAGAGAAAAATGAGTGAAAAATTATTATATGCCACCAAATAAATACTTTTATTACCTAATAAATAGCTAGTAATGAGATCGTTACATTGGACTTAAATATGTATCACAAACTCAATCATATTAGTCTTGGTTTACTATAATAACCAGCTAAACGGTCTGCTTCTCTATAGCCACTCTCCATCGCACCATGCACTGTAGAATAGTAATGTTTGCTTGTTGCTTCACCTGCGAACAGAACAACAGGTCGAATTGAGAGAGGACGAAGAGAAGCGCGCTCATAGAATTCATCTACATCTGCGTATGTCAAAACTGTTAAAGGTAACGATAATGCATGTGCGGTTGTTTTTAAAAACTCAGTATGTAATGATCGAAATGAATATGAACCTCGAAAAAATCGATTACTTTCCCAATTCGCTATTAATATATTTTTAGGTTTTGGTATATCCCAGTTGGGTAGAAATTGTCGTAATAAAAACATTAAATTGTCTTGGACTTCAATCCTAGGTAGAGATTCAATAAACATTACTAATTTACCAACTGTCCATACAACTAAAATTCTTGGTTGATAGTTAACACAATAAAAACCGAATACATCGGCCAACCAAAAATTTTTTGTTCCTCGCATTTTTGCTAACTCTTCTTCTCTCCATAATGTACTAAAACCCGTCCAATCGTCCGGCCAAAATTGTTCTGGAAATTCAAGGAATATCTTACCCACACTTCCGAATCCAAGTCCATTTATTGCACGTTTTTTTTCATCCGGTAAAGGTGGTTCAAACATTTCCATGAAATTTGCTTTTAGTACACCCAATGAAACTGTTACTACAACATGATCTGCCTTATATGAATTAATTGAGCCCTCTATACATATTTCTATCATATTATCTTGTTCTTCGGTATTCCACCTAATCGTACTTACTATAGTGTTAAATACAACTTTGCCACTCAGACGACCTAGTTCCTTATTTAACTCTTCACTTTGCAGCAGAAGACGCAAAAAGGTTGTGTACCCTTTATCTCTCCAATTTAGCATATAGTCTCCTGGACATTCATAATATTCATTGAAACCACAGGCAGAAACTTCATCGAGATCAGTTGATGTTTCAGTGCTTTCCAATTTTTTAAAATTTTCCCAAAATTCAGATGCTATTGTCTCATCTATATCGTTATTTTCAGGAAGTGCTAGTGCTTCATTAAATTTTTCGGTTAAGTACAATGCCAAAGAACCAGTATGAAAGGCTATATCCTTTTTACGTTCTTCTATAATGGTACTAACAATATTTTTCAAACGATTCGTAATGTCAATATCTACTTTTTGACCATTTGAACGAATACACTCATAAGATACATAAATACCACCTGTTGTATCCAATAGGTCATAACGTTTCTTCGCTTTTAATGTTTGGAACACAATATTATTGATTTCTCCGTGACACCACTGTGCTCCCAAATCAACTACATTATCTGCAAAGGGAACAGTATGAATTCTGCCACCGATTCTAGACTGCGCTTCCAATAATATTATATCTTCAAAACCATAATCAAGAAGCCTAAGAGCACAAGCAATACCAGAAATTCCTGCGCCAACTATAACTATTCTTGGTTCATTTGATCTTGGTTTATATTCTTTGGGACTTTTTGGCTTTCCTACAATTTTTGTTATAAAATCAAAGCACATCTATAAATAAAATTTCAAAAATAAATTTTTAAAATTAAACAAAAAACCTAAAATCAAACATTTTGACAATTATTAAATAGAAAGATTAATAAAAACCATTAAAAACTATTTTTGCTTTTATATTAAGTATACTCAACTAATGTTATTATTAATCAGCACTGTACGATATAATGGCGGTTCCCAATCAGTGGCAATATCGATACAATCAATATTAGATACATGTTTATTCAGCTAAAAAAAAATGAATACTACTAAAATTTAAAAATTTTGCGCCTAAATTAAAAAACAAAAACTCAGCCTGGTACTTTGAAAAAGTACGAAGCTCTTTTATGAGTTCAAGAGTTAACGTGGAAGAATTTTGATGACATGACATATCTTTCAAAGATATATCATCTTAAATTTGTTTTATTCAATTTTTTTTTGTCTATTTGATAGAAATTTATTTAAAATTTTGATTTTTAGTTTTTTATTCAAAGTTTACTAACTATCGATAGTTTTTGAAAATCAATGTCTATAGTTAAAAAAACCGGAACATAAATAAATAATACCAGCTTATACGAAGTAACTTAGCACAGACTGTATAATATCACCCCATTAGGAAATTTAATTTCGATCACATTAAATTGGTTTTTTTACGAAAAATTATAATTATTTCTTAACAAATTAATTTATTATTTTATAAAATATATTATATCATTGTATTAAATTTTAATGAAATTTTTAATGAAATTTATTTTTCGCAAGAGTAATTTTTTTTCAATACTTCAACGATATTTTTTCTGTTTCATAATAGCTGTTTCATCATAATAATATATAATTTACGATTATTTTCCTTTTTTTTTTGTATATTATTCTGTCATTCCCTTCAGTTAATATCGTATTATTTGGGGTTTTCTAAAGAAAATAACTTTTTTCATTAAGACCGTGTGCGAGTTCATGTAAATTGAGGTAAAGTAAATTGAAATTTCCTAGGGATTTTTTGCACTGCACTTATGTTAATATTTATTTATTTATTGTACTTATTTATTATTTCTGATTAAAAGTTTTCAAATTTATTTTACTATTTATTAAATATCTTATAAAATTTTCACAATGATAATACCTAATTTACCTCATTTTTATCTAATTCACCCTACTCGAAATTCTGGTAAATACCAACATTCGCTGCCATACCGACATAATTTACTATATCCCTCAATTTACCATCAATTTACTCGAACTCGCACACGGCCTAATTATAATGTGAAGGAAATTTCAATTTCTTTTTGAGTTTTTTCTTCGTCGTTGTCACTGCTGTTGTATATGTGCATCTATGCGTAAGTATGAATACAAATAAATATGAAGTTCGCTCAGATTGTTTAATATTTAACTCTTTTTCAATGTCTACCTTCAGTCATTAAACGGTCTGGAAGATGGTTTATAATTCAAAACGAAATAATATCCATTTTCATTCATAAATTGAGTTCATGAACTGAATTATTACAAATAAATTAAAATAGGTATTTGTTTTTGTTTTCTATTATTAAATGATCATATTTTACGTATTAAAAATATTTAATACTCCTATATAATTTTTTATATATAATATAATATAAAGCAATTTAAAATTACTAAAACTATTTTATTACAGCCTGTTTCATTAAAACAGTTTTTACAAAAGTTACTAATTTTTAAAATTATATACATTTAAATTTAATATCAATAGCTGTTTACGATTGGAAGAATAAGTTAACTTTTTATTAAGAATTTACTAAAAAATATTACAAAAACAAAACAAAAATAATAATATGTATTAAATTTTAAATACTACTGCAAAACGAAAAAAATTAAGAAGCCGCCCTCATATAAGGTACTATAAGATACATACTCCTTTCAGTATTAAGCACTATCTACCATACTAGGCTACAGATACACTGCATTTCCGAGAAATCTGGTATATTGTAAAAAAATTTGTAATATATTTTTATGTTCAATTTTTAATAAACCTATATGTAACGCAATTGCAGTATGTATCTTCTTATAAACCGTTCTAGAGAAATGTTCATAAACTATAAGTCTATAAGATTTACTAATATGATATTGAATAATTATGAATGTTGGCTTGATTCCAATTTGTAAATCGATTTAAATAAAGCAAAGTGGGACAATGGTTCCCAAATTTTTATATAAAAACTACCAACAAGTATATGCACCACTTTTCTTTATACCCGTTGTTTGTGAAAATTGGATATACTAATTGGCGTTAGATGGCGTAGTTAAATTTTTAATTAGTGTGATTTCAATATCTCGAGAAGTGAGCTATATTTCGCTTATAGAGTAATAGAGTGGTGAAAAGAATTAACCAGAATATTTATATTTATTGAAATTCGTTGTTTTCACGGTTTTATTTTAATAAAATAAAATAAAAAAATATTTTGAAACATATATTATTACTATAATCCAGTATTTTTTGTATATCACAGTTCTATCTGAAATAAAATTTGATTCCTCACTATTAAACTATGAACGGATTTTAATTTTATGAAAAAAGAATCAAAGTTATATCTAACTCTCCACTCTCAAGGTTAGTTTTTGACTAAAGTAGATATTAATAAAGAAGTTCTATCTGAAATATAATAATAAAATTTGCTATATAATTACTGAAGTACATTGGGTTTCGTTTTATAAAAAAAATCAAAAATTGGTATTACTTTTCTAATCGGAAGTGGAAAATATTTCAAAGATAATATTTACTGATCAAATAAGGCGACAAGAAATATTCATATAGTCATGGTTTATAGTTTATAGTTTTTTTTCGAAGCAGTATTAAAATTTAAAAATATTTTCGTTTTGTTTAAGGACTTTAAATGTAACAAGTTGTACACAAATTTTATATTCTTTAAAAGAATCTTGCACAAGTTAACATTCAAAGTCCTACAATTGTTATAATTGCGATTTGTAATTTTTAGATATATGTTTAAGTTTTCCATAAAATTGTGCTAAGCGCCTAGCCTCACGCCAACCAGCTTCCACAGCGCCATGTACTGTGGAATAATAATGGTCACTTGTAGCTTCTCCAGCAAACTGAATAATTGGTTTATCACAACGGCTTTGTGCACTTATGGTTTCATCATTATTATCACTATCATTTTGTAGTCTTGGATTTGTTACCACAACTGTAAGAGGCTGTGCTAATTCCCTTGCGCTTGTGCCAATTTCCTCAGTGAACATTGATCGAAATGAATATGAACCACGGAAGTTCTCATTTGTATACCAAGTTGATGTCTTAAAATTCACTGGATCTGGTATATTCCACGTAAGAAATTTACGAAATAGATACATACATCCGGCTAGTACTTCTTCTTCCGGTAATGTTTCCATATGTCGGCCATTAACTCCAATTATCCAACCACTTAAAATTTTTGGTTGATAATTTACACAGTAAAAACCGAAAACATCTTCAAGCCAAGCACGTGCAGTACCGCGTATTTCATCAATATCTTCCTCACGCCACAGCAATGTAAAACCTGTCCAATTATTTGGCCAAAATTGCACAGGAAATTCTATAAAAATTTTATTTACAGTGCCAAAAGCAAGACCATCTATAGCACGTTGTTTCTCCACAGGTAATTTTGGTTCGAAAAGTGATAAGTGTTGATCTTTGAGTACGCCTAATGAAACCGTTAAAATAACATGATCAGCTAAAAAATTTTCGCCATCTTCGCACTTCACATCAACACAACTATCGTTACGATTCCAATAAATCTGTTTTACTCTTTTTTCCAATATTATGCGTTTATCTAACAATCCATGCTCTGTACCTAAATCTTTAGATTTCATTAATAAATTTAAAAACTCTATATAACCTTTGTCTTTCCAATTAAGCAGTATATCACCATCACATTCCCAATACTCCAAATAGCCTCGGCCAGAAACTTCATCTAATGTATCCGAAGCTTCAACGGAATTTTCAAATTTTTGATAGTTTTCAAAAAACTCCTTTGCTATCGCAATATCTATGTCAGAATTTTCAGGTCTACGTAGTGCTTCGTAAAATTTGTTCGTTATGTAACTACCAAGGGATCCGCTACAATTTCGTAATTCCATTTGACGTGTCACTAAACTATCATTTACAATATCCTTTAATCGTTGACTAATACTTTCCGGCACAACTTCACGATTAGAACGAATGCATTCATAGCTCTCATAAACGTCACCCGTTGACTCCAATAAATTATGTTTATATGCCAATTCGTAGACAATATTGTCCTTTTCACCATGACACCATTGTGCACCCAAATCAATGACATTGTCCGCAAAAGGTATAGTATGTATACGACCACCAATTCGTTTCTCTGCCTCAACTATTATCACATTATGAAAACCATAATCTAATAGTTTTGTAGCACAGGCAATACCAGATGGTCCTGCACCAACTATAACTATTTTTGGGATATTCATTATCTCTAGTGGCAGTTGAAAATAATAAGTATCTGTAAAAATAACAAATTTTCATTATATTTTTCATCATATATTATATGTTAAAAATATCAATAAAATGTTTATATATAGATTTTACTATTATTATATGATATTTAGGTATTTGCAAATTTAAAAGTAATAAACTGCTTGCATAAATATAATTTGAACCAAAACACCAAAAAATTATAATCTGTTTGCTTAAATTTAGAAATTAATACTCAATCATTAATTTCGTCAACACATATCTCAAGAGAAGGACTACAAAAATTATGAATAAAATTTAACATTGATGCAACTTAAAGATATATCAAGAGAATGACTTCAGCTGTTCCAGCAGCTAGAGGGAGAAAACCTTATGATATACGATGTTTCTGATAGAATAATCAATCTACAGTAGTACAAACTGTACTTAATTTGTGGTGTTACAATAGGCCATTATTTATGCTTAAGTAAGCTTTGGTGTAGAAGGTTTCCACACCAATCTATCCTAACCTAACTGCACTTGGTACACTAGAGGAGAAGATAAGCACTGACCAAAACCGACTATTGTTTTAAAAGTTTTTTAATTTTATGTTAAGAAAATTGTTAAATAACATTTAAGAAATATATATACTAGTATAATCCATTAAATTCGTAACAATAAAGTAGTTCAACAACATAAAAATAAGGTCAGAGATAAGTAATAACAAGATAAATATAGATTAATAATAATAAGACAACTGTTTTGCATACCTTTAAATAACTATTTCAGTATTTAAATTTATTCTACATATATGATTATCAGATTATTTATTTAATTATCGCTTATTAGAGATCAAAGCACGATTTTTCAACAAACATATAATATAATAAAATTAAAAAAATATATTCATAAGATAAAAGGGATTTTAAGTGGTCAGAGAATTTTAATAGAATTTGTTCTTTTATTATCACATTTGCATTTAAATGTATACAATGCAAATTATTAACTACAGAAAGAATTTATAAAATTACTATAAAAATAATTCAGAGATAGGAAACCTGTAAAGAACTATAATATTTTAAACACATTTTAAACACACCCATCTCATTGACTAATTTATGTATTCCCTATAAGCTTCATGATTATTCAGTGATTGATCTAAGATCTGCGTACTTCCGCGTGCGGAGAGTGATTACTCTAAGATTAGATAGTGCTAAGTAGGATAGCCTGTCAGTTTTCGCATATAACTTCAGGGCTCTGTCCCTTATGTATTTTTTGATCGGGTCTATTCTAAGGTCTCTTAGCATGTCGTTTGTGCGGATGTACCAAGGCACTTTGAAGAGTCTTCGGAGTCTTCGGAGCAACTTGTAGCTTTTGTATAGTAGAGTCGGCAGCTTTGCTATACGCGACACATCCATGAAGTAATGCTGGTCTAATTATCTGGCTATAGATCAGTTTTCTTGTTCTATCAATAGCTCTTTTTCACTTTAGGAAAAGTTAAATTTTATTTTTCGCAAAGAATTGATCAATAAATCTGGGTTGTAAAACATCGAATGGACACTACGTCCGCGACAGCTTATGTTCGAGCCCTTATAAAAATCATAATTATATCTAAGATAACATCGGTGCATGCAGGACACGGGACTATAGAACGTCATGAATCCAGGCCCTAAACTCTTGTAGATCGCGTGTAGCGACGGTAGAGAAAGAGGTACCAAAACACCTGTTGTGCCATTCTCTAAACTTATATAGATCCAGGTTTAAACTTAAATCATTTCTAAACTTACTCAATGATGTATATAACGTTAAATTGGCCAGTTACTTGTATTCTTCAAAGCGTTCGGCTAGTTCTAATATGTCTAAACTTGCACTTATAATTACTAGGAATATGGAATCAAAATAGAAAATTTGTGAGGAATCTTCACTGATTGAAAAAAATTCGATCCTGCTTTGACCTCACCTATCAACCTATCTAACCTATATTCATTTCTAACATAGATCATGATCAGGTCCAAGTGACAAGTGGACCCATTTATCTCTGCTTGTATCTTTGTTTACACTGCAGCTAATCATTTACTTTTTGAGATACCTTTTTAAAGTTTGGTTTATTTACGTTAATGCACAACGTTCCTGGTGTGGGCCACCCCTGCACTGTGCTAAGACAAACATGGTTGGCGTTTCAAAAGTTCTTTCACTTTCACAAGTGTAAAGTGTAAATCTGAATTTCGCACATGAAAAGTTTTTTATTTGTCATTTAAATTGTTTACTTTTCCTTTCACAAAACTGACAATAAACAACAACAACGACTACAAAAGAGCTATAAGCAGTATTTGCTTTATGCATTTTTAGTGCAGTGCACTGACTGCAACTGCACAGCACAATCCATTCAACGCGCATAAATGATGGGAAATTAGCTTAAGTAAGTGGGCAAATATGAATTCTTCGCTGAGTTTCGCTTTTTATGGAATCTCAAGTTCTACCGAGTAAGTGGTTGTTAATCTTTTGTCATAGGAGAGGGATGAGGTTTATTAACACCATTAAGATACTTTAGTATGCAGACATAGATAGTACAGACCGAGTTGGAATAATGAATATTATTTAATCCAATTAATTAATGCTTAGATCTGTTTAAACCACAACAATATTTAATTAATTGTTTTATTTTTTTTATATTAATTAAAGCTAAATGCAGAGAAGAGCAATTATATATAATTAATTTAATTAAGAAATACGATAAACATTTTGTCTTCAAATTATTGAAGACAGTGTTGCTAGTAAAGTTGATTAACGGATGTAAGTAATAAAGTAGGGCAAAGTAAGCACAGATTTTATCTGTGTATATATTCCATAGGGTACATTCACCTTCGCATTAGGGGCATGTCTCTCGGAAGAGACAACTAAAATCCATTCGGTATTATCCAATACTGTATAGATTATAACTGATAGTGAGAGAGTTTCATTTGTGCTGATCAATAGAAGTTGGCAACTTAAATTAAGTATCGTAAATTAAGTAAGTAAATTAAGTATCGTGGGGACTGTCGTGGAAACTTAAATTTACGCGAAAAAAATAGCTGTGTTTATTTACTTTCATTTGATGTTTATCAAACGGGTTCTGTGGATTAAAAAACAGCCCAAGTGAAAGATAAAGCTCGCTTTACGGAAACTATATCCAGACGTACTATTTCAACTGCTACCGATGGAATTTCCTAGAATTGCGGCGTTTATTAACTTCTTTACAGCTACAGCAAATATCATTCAAGAGAATATTAAATCTCCTAGTAAATTTTTTGAAAAATATCAGAGCCAAGAATTTTAGACTTTTAATGAAACTTAAAAAATAAGTTTTATAAACTAAATAGTGACAAAGCAGATGTAAAATTCTCTCTCTTCAGCTTCCCCTACAGTTAAGTCATTGAAGAAAATATTCAATCCCCTAGCATGGTTTCCTGATCGACAAGTACTCACCAGCAAATTTATAATAAAACTAATATTCAAAGTACTAGTGTTATCGCTACTCATATTATTCCGATGGTCTGAATGTTTTAATAAGATACATTTTCTGGCATTAATCTTCATCCTAACCGACAATGACTCGTCAGCAAACTGCGCATAAAACTGTTATAACTAATGAAACATCTCAATAAGATTGCTGTACTTTTTACTGTTTAAGAAAGACCAGCTTGAATATAGAAGTCCGTACATCCTTTATTGTTCTCAACTTGTATATAGCTACTTTATATATGGGGACTTTAACAATTGTTTGCATTAAGCTAACAACCTTTATTAGTTTGGAGGTACATTTTCCAGCTAATTCTTGATATCGTAGTGATCGGGAAACCAGAGAAACTTATTTGTATATTGAACTAAATTCAGGTATTATGTTTGAGTACTGTTAGGTTAGGTTAGAGTGAAGGCCATATACCCAAAGCTTACTTGATCTCAAGTAATAGCCCATTGTAATATTGAGTGGCGGGATTATCTAATAAAATAAACGTATTGCTATTCAATATGATAATTACATATATTTATAAGTGTTCTTTATTTCATTTTTAATATTATTGAAAAAATAATTTAAAAAAAAGTTATTGGATTGGTTGTAAATAGTCTTACATCGCTTTTTTTTGGTGTTCTGTTTTGAATTAGAAAAATATACTGAATTTATTACTAACTTCATAAAATATTTTAAATATATTAGAATATGAAATTTATTATAACTTTTCAATATGTGTATTGATGTTTTTACGATGTTCTTAAAAAAAGGAAAATTGCATCTCATTTATACCTCAGATATGTTCACAAGTCACATCGCTTGGAAACCAGAATACTTGGTTATTTTTATTATTGATATTAAGATATAATGTTGCTAATGTATAACTAATAAACAAAATAGATATTTTTAGAGAAATTTACTGAAACTATCTCTATGGGTGCCTATAAATATTGAGCAAAGAAAACAACAATAATATAAAAATATTTAAGCACAGACTGAATTGTTTATTAACTAAACGCCAAATACAAGCACAGCGTTCTTATCTGCTTCAGAATACTCGTATTCCCCCCGAAATTTGATTTTACCGGTACCGGTACATAAAGTGTCAGTCTTCTTACCACGTAGGGGTTTAGAGTTCAGTATATTCTGGTATCTTACACAATAGGAAAGGCAACATTTCGCACGTTTCAGCATTTTTTGTTGAGCTTTGGGAAAGCATATTTTTATAATTGATTTATTTTTGAATTTTAGCATTGATTTCACGCGCAATGCAGGATTTCAAAAGGATATATCTATCTACATAACGACACACCGACTCTGTACATAAGAGTTTATATACAAAAACACATGCGTTTCAAGTGACATATACATACATATAAATATTTATATAAAAATTTCACGTGTTTAAAAATATTTCCTTCGTTCTTTGCAAATAAAAATAAAATTTCTTTGCAGTAGCGAAACACTCACTTTTTATTTTTATTATTTTTGTTAAAAACTTATTTCACATTCTAATTTTTAAATAATAATTTTATAAATTTTTATTCAACGCTCAAGAGCCCAAATGTTCAGACTTCTATTAATACTTGCCACATTGCCTCTTTAAAGACTGTAAAGACTGACATGAAATGCCATCATTCATGCAGTAGCACATTTTCAATCGGCGAAAGCTCTAATGCTACGCTACACGGCCCTCTCGCAATCCACGATGGCACATGTTCGCACAATAACAAGGAGCGCAAAAAAAAGAGTTTGAAATAAGAACAGCAAGAAAAAGCTTTCTAAATATAAAAAGCTCAACCAGTTAACCGGTCTATTCGAATATGTTTGTTAGCTACAATGATATCACTAATAAACGTATAATAATTAAACATACTTCTTTATCTTATCTTCCATCTATGGTATGACTTTGCTAAATTAACAACAACAACATTATATATTTTAAGTTAAAAATAATAATAATAATACTGCTATATCTTATCTTCTATGATTTTGAGACATTAACAGTAGTAACATTATGCGTGATGATGGGGCCGGAACCTTTTTGTGGACTAGGACATAGTACGCTCCTTTCTCTCATAAAAATAAAGGAGAACCAGAATAAATAGTATTACTGGGTTAATATAGCAAGATTAACACAATTCAAATCACTTATTGGTACCTATAAAAAAAAGAAATATCAAAATTGTATGCACCTTTCAAAAGAAAAACTTAGAATCATCACAGGAATCCTAACAGGGCAAATACCACCTTACAAGACTGTGTATACATACGGATGCAAATTGTAGATTCTGTGAAGAGAATGAGGAGTCGGCCAAACATTTGCTGTTAGAATGCTCTGCGCTAATGCACATATAGAATAGGGTGTTGACGCAACATGGCTTAGAGACCTACTTTAAACCCAGAAGGGCGCACAATAAACCCGACGGTTGCAGTGCCATATTTCGGTGTAATACAGATATTTCGGTCTAATTCGAAATATCATCTAGACCATTTTTAATATACAATAAGTAAAAAAAAAATTATTTAAATACATGTAATTAAAAAAATATAAACATATATCAGAAAAAAAACAACCAAAAATGACAAACAATGTTGTCTCTTAAAATGTTTTATATTTTGAATAAACATTTAAATTTATTAAGTCAAAAACAAACACAAATTCAAAAACAAAAAACTAATGAAAAATGAAAAGGAAAAAAATTTGATTTTTAATTTATTAGTAGATTTCTGCAAGATACTCTGTGTCTTTTTTATAGTTAAGTGTCTGATTGTCCGAACATTAATTATGTGTAATATTTTTATCATAATTAAACTAATAAATTTTAGTATTTGTAAATATTGAAAATGACATTAAACATATTCCCATTAGGCAATTATTAAATAAAGTAATAATAATAACTAAAACTTCAAAAGTTGTTGGTTTTACTTAGTATATATTTTTTATTTATTTTATTTTATTATTGTATCATATTTTTTAATTATATTTTTGTATTTATAATACTAATATAAATAACTTTTAATATTTGTGAATATTGAAATTAATAGTTTTAAATGTATTCGTAAGAAATTTCATAAGCAATTGATAAATAAAGAAAAAATAATATATATTAATTAAGTTTAGTATATTTTAAAATCGCAAACTGCATAACTACTACAATAATATAATACCATTTATGTAATATTTTTGCAATAATTTACACAGATATTTATAATAATATAAAAATAATTCCAAATAATCTTTGAAATACAAATTTTACATTTATATATATTAAACATTTACTTATTACCATAATTTATCGCTGAAAACTATTTCTTTAAATATGCAGTCCTGTTTGGCAATGCTTACCATCGCTTTCTTAGATTTCATTGCATCTTGAACTTTTCCACGAACTTCAGCGGCTTTTACATCGTTTCTTATGTAGAACAAACGTACTATTTGATCTTCGCTCAACGATGGATAGTTACCTAAGATTGTGTGTAAATCTAAAACTAACAATTCAATATCGCAGACCAGTAATGTCGATAGCGTTTGTATTAGATCTAATGGAGAATCTGCCATAGATATATTAGGAGCGATTTTTTCAAAAAATTGCTTAAATCTTTTAGCTTCTTGATTTATTTTACGTGTAATTGGATCACACTCTGGCCTAGGTTTGGACACTCGTTTGGAGAGCAAGGCTTTTATATAACGTTTTGCTAAATTTTTTTGTGCCTCATTTATCACCATTTCAAAATTTGTTGGGCGTAAATGATTGTAATCCTATAAAAAAATGATTTTTAATAAAAAAAATATTTATAAATAATTATTCATTTAATCTTACTTGAAAATAGTCATCGAGTGTTACGCATATAGTGTCCACTGATATACTGCTAGTAAGCCATTTCACAGTAAAAAGATCATTGAAATGACCCTCCATATCAAGAAACGCCTCTTCCAAAAGATAGTTAGCAGCATGAGCGCGTATACGTTGGAATATGGCGAGTAATTTTTCAAAGTCTTCATAATGTTCAGTACGTGATTTGGGCCAGTAAAGTTGCTTCATTTGCTGTGCTAGTTCTACCATTTGTTGACTGTTATTCACAATTGTAATGATATAATGTGTGAAGTATTTTATTTGATCTCGATTGCGGAAATGATGTTCCTTGAGCTCGATCACATTTTTTAAATAACTTTGCCCAAATACTTCCACTTGTTGTATGCTCATAACAAGAGCTTTAAAAGTGAGCTCTGCATGTATGGTATTAGTCACTTGCAAATGTTGATCTATCATTTGAAAGATTATGACTGGCGCTGAAGTATGATAATAATGTTCGTCCTGATCAGGAGGTTGTTCAGAAAACCATTCTTGTTTTTCAGTATCTGCTGTTTTGGTCATCCAATCTTGATAATTTCGCTGCATATTTCGTAAATATTCACCTTCTAATGATTTTAAATGCTCTGGACGTAACAAAGGTCCAATAACCCTTTGCACGTCAACGTCCAAATCAGCATGTCTCATTAGTTCAGGACCAGGATAAGTATTCATTACCCATGAAAGCATAGAAACATATTCATTTCCTTCTAATCCTGATTTGGCAATGCTATCAAGCTGAAATATAAATATTTTAGTATAATAACAACGCTTTCACACAAAAAAAAACCTTACATAAGCCGAGAGTCCCTCATGATACATTTTGACATATTCATTAAAAATATTATAATGTGGTGGAAAGCATGGTACGCATAACGATTTAACAACGCGTAAATCTTCCAATATAATTTGTCGCAAAATTTCCAAATCACGCACTAACCACATTTTATTATCTGTACGTTCCTCCAGTTTCGAGCCTTCAATACGAGTTACGACAGCCTCTTGTAGGACATTCATAGCAAGAGCACGCCAATTTTTCGGTCTTCCCGGTGGTAGAAACCCTGTTACTTTTTGTTGTTGTAACGCAAATTGGTCATTTTTCTCTTCTCTTTCGATTATTCGAAGAGCAGTCACAATAATTGTTGGTTCTTTCCGAACGGTATTTAAAGTACGGCTTAATATTAGACGCAATTTCTTCTCAAGCGCTTGCGATACCGTCTCAACTTTTTCAAAATGACGTTTTAAAGTTATCTTATCGGAAGCATGTTGTTTTGGTTGTTTATGCAATTCATAGAGCAAATCATCTCTGGAATTTTCTAAGTCAGCCAAACATTGATGGGCATTTAACAATTTGTCTTCTTCTATCAAAGTCATAGTTTTTTGCACACTACTTTCTACATTAAATATGTGCTTTAGATTTTCCATTGCAGTTGCATATTGTGAATGTTTCGTGTTCTCTTCTCGCACCACTTCTAACGCATCGTATATATCCGGCACGAGCTGCAATAATTTATCAACCTCTTCCATTCGATTTCTAACTTCACGTGTATCTTGTAAACATGCTTCCAACTGTTTAAGACCAACACGTACACCATCTAATTGATTTTGCATACCAGTTTTCAGGAGCGCATCCAATGAAGCCTTTTTACGTGCAACTCGATTACAATATTGATCCACTTTTTCCAACTGTCCTGAACGTTGCAACATATTTTTTATATCTTTAAAAGCTCCTTGCCGTGCCTCCGCCTCTAATTGTTTTAAATCCATCTTTACTCTTTTTATAGTTTCAATTTGTTGTTTGAAATATGATTTTTGTTTACAATACTATTTTGTGGGCGAGAATACTTTGATCTACATCTGCCAATTTTACAATAAACTATGATGTCACAACTCAGCTGTTTCAATTGATAATAAACAGGGTTGTTAAAATTCTGTACGTCCCCTGTGCACTGATTTGCAAGCGATCTGCGAACAAAGTTCATTATTAATTTTAAAACAAAAAGTTTTTTTTAAAGATCATAATAAATAATAATTTTAGTGTGTATAACAACTCTATATTTTAGCACCAGCATCTTTAATGTATTTAATGCACAATGATATTTAATCATTCAAACTATAGTTGCGCATATAAAACATAATGCGTGGTACTATTCAAATAAATGCATTGCATATTTTTTTACGAAGCAAATTTTTTATAATTAAATGTTGTTACATATTAATCTAGAGCCTACACAACAAATAGTTCCACAAAAAAAATTTACTTTCCCTTGATTACTGGAATGGGCTCTCAGCAGAATTTGCTTAAATAGTAAATATTTATATCTCTACATATTATTTAGCACATAAATAAAGCTTTAGTAACGTTCTATTTGGCGAGATCACCTTGATGCACTTTGTTATGCCGATGACCGAGTAATATTCTCGTTTCATTATATTATGCCATCACAGGACACATTTATCATAATTAATAGTACATTCACACTCTCATTTAGGCACTTGATCATTTATATTAATAAGTGTGGCAGCACCAAAAAATATAAATAAAAGAACTGTCAACAAGGCACAAAGGAGACAACAATAGCCGCAGTTCCCGCCAGTAGTAGTTTGGAAAAAGACAAAGCAGCACGTGAATAAAACGTAAAAACACAAATCTTAACTTTAAGAATATTTTATAATAACTAAGTATAAGAAATAAATAAACTTATCCATTACCAATACGGAGTGTTAAATTAACTTATCCATTACCAATACGGAGTGTTAAATTCGAAATAAAACCCAACATAACAAACCACTACATTGGTGACCAAGCCGACGCCGAATATAAAAAATGGCTACTCAAGAGCAAAAGATAACCGAAGACACTAACCCAATCAATGAAAACGCAACAATCACTGCAATAAAGCTGCCGATGCCAACATTAATAAAAAACAACATTGACCTTTGGTTTATTCAGTTGGACTACTGGTTCCAAGTCAACAACATAAAGGGCGATACTCAAAAGTTTGGCACAGTTATCGCAGCATTGGATGCATCGCTGTTAGAACAAATTTATAACACAATACAGAATCCACCAGCAACTCAGAAGTACGAAGCTATCAAGCAAGCAATAATAAAAAACTTTGCGGATAGTGAACAAAAACGCATACAAAAATTAGTTAGTGGTTTACAGCTTGGGGATAAAAAGCCATCCCATCTTTTAAACGAATTGCAACGTATTAGTGGAAGCAAACAAGACGAACAATTACTGAAAGGGTTATGGTTACAACGTCTTCCTGTAGAAGTACAGACATGTCTAGCCACAATTCAAGTGGAACTACCTAAGATGGCGGAATTGGCAGACAACATAACCGAAACAATCCGTATAAACTCAACAATGCAAGGAACTTACGTCAATGCAGCTAACGTCCCTGCAGCAGCTCATATTCAACGTGATGCACAAATCGAACAACTTCAACGAGAAGTGACCAGACTGACGAAAATGGTCTCGAAATTATCAACCGAACACCGCTCAAGAACAAATCAACGTTCACGTTCAACATCCAGAAACCGGAAATGTCATGATGATAGTGAAGAAAAGACCAGTACAAATTGTTGGTATCATAGAACATATGGGGCAAATGCAAAAAATTGCAAGCAGCCATGCACATATGGCACAAAAAACTAAAACCGACTTCGTCTACGGCGGCAGAGGAAGTTGTAAACGAAACATCTACAAGACTGTTCGTCTATGACAATAAGACAAAAAAATCATTCCTAATAGACACGGGTGCAGATGTTTCACTTATTGCCGCCAAACAAAAAAATTCAAATACAAACAATAAGAACGAAAGAATACTCTACGCAGCAAATGGTTCTATGATCAAAACATTTGGAGAAATAGAGATAACTCTAGCTCTTGGCTTACGAAGAAATTTCACATGGCCATTTATTATCGCAGATGTAAACACTTCAATCATCGGTGCAGATTTTTTAAATCATTTCGGATTAATAGTAGACATAAAAATGAAACGATTAATCGACACATCAACAAAGATTTTCTCAGCCGCAAGTGAACGTAAGGTAAATGCGCAAAAAATATCAACTGTGAACACATCTTGCAAAATTGCAGATCTACTAAAAGAATACATCGACATCACTAAACCAACACCGACAAATCGCCAGGTGACAAAAGTCACTCACCACATATTAACAAAAGGTCCACCAATATGTGAGAGACCACGTAGGTTACCTCCAGACAAGCTAGCAGCAGCAAAAGAAGAATTCCAAAACTTAGTCACAGCCGGAATATGCCGTCCATCAAGCAGCAATTGGGCTAGCCCCTTACATATGGTAAAAAAACCAGACGGTAGTTGGAGACCTTGCGGAGATTACCGTCGCCTAAATGCAATCACCATCCCAGATCGTTACCCAGTTCCTCACATACATGATTTTGCACACATGTTATATAACCAAAAAGTTTTTTCAACCATCGACCTGATTAAGGCATATCACCAGATACCAGTTGAACCGGGGGATATTCCAAAAACGGCGATCATAACTCCATTTGGATTATTTGAATTTACTAACATGACATTCGGACTTTGCAATGCAGGTCAAACATTTCAACGCTTCATTCACGAAGTATTACGAGATCTCGAATTCGCCTTTGCCTATATTGACGACGTCATTATTGCATCAGCAAACGAGGAAGAGCACAGGCAACACTTGCAACAAGTATTCGAACGATTCAGAAAACATGGTTTAATAATAAACGTATCAAAATGCGTTTTTGCTCAAAACACAGTAAAATTTCTTGGTTATCTCATCAGTGAAAAGGGCATTCAACCTCTACCAGATCGAGTGAAGAGCATCAGCGAGTACCCGCTTCCAACAAAAACAAAAGAATTAAGAAGATTTCTAGCATTACTTAACTTTTATCGCAGGTTCGTACCAAACGCTGTAGATTCTCAAACTGCACTTCAACAAATGATAAAAGGAAACAAGAAGAACGACAACACACCGTTATGCTGGACCGAAGTGAACAAAACAATCTTCCAAAAATGTAAAGATGAACTAACAAACTCGACACTACTTGTTCATCCGTCAAAAACTGCTACGCTTGCATTACAAGTAGACGCCTCGGATAAAGCTCTCGGCGCAGTTCTTCATCAAGTGACAGACAGCACGTTCCAACCACTCGGTTTTTTCTCTAAACGATTAACAGATACACAAAAACGATACAGCACATACGATCGTGAGTTGTTAGCCGCATATCAGGGCATAAAACATTTTCGACATATGTTAGAAGGTCGTGAATTCGTATTAATAACTGACCACAAGCCACTCACGTTCGCATTCCAGCAAAAGTCCGACAAGGCTTCACCACGTCAAGTCCGTCAGCTTGATTATATAGGTCAATTTACAACGAATATCGTTCATGTCAGCGGAAAAGACAACATCCCAGCAGATTTTCTCTCGCGGATAGATAGTATTAGCATCCCAAAAATCGACTACGATTGTATAATTGGATTACAACGATGTTGCCCACAACTACAAGATATCAAAAACAACAATTCCATCGAAATCAAACTTTTATCTTTACCAACAATATCGGATAAAATTTATTGCGAAGTTTCAACTGGGCGAATTCGTCCTTACATTCCGGAGAAATACCGGCTACATATCTTTAAAGCTACGCATGGGTTGTCTCATCCCAGCATTCGGGGCACAACAAAAATGATAGCTGAAAAATTTTTCTGGCCTTCTATAAATGCTGATATCAGAAACTGGACCCGACAATGTATCCCATGCCAACGTTCTAAAGTGCAACGTCACAACCGTTCACCTATTTGTCAATATGAACTCGCTGAACACAGATTCGAACATATAAACATAGATATCGTCGGCCCGCTACCACCATCAAACAACTGCACATATATATTAACCATCATCGACCGTTTCAGCCGATGGCCAGAAGCAATTCCGATCCCAGATCAAACAGCGGAAACCATCGCAAACGCACTGATTACTCAATGGATCGCACGTTTTGGCGTACCCTTACGTATCACAACAGACCAAGGAAGACAATTTGAATCTTCATTGTTCAACCAACTAGCTGAAGTTATCGGTTGCAAACACTTACGAACTACGAGTTACCATCCTCAAAGTAACGGAATGGTGGAACGATTTCACCGCACATTAAAAGCAGCCTTAATGTGCCACCAAACAACTTCTTGGACAGAAGTTTTACCAATAGTATTGTTAGGTCTACGCACGACTTTTAAACCAGATATTGGAGCTTCTGCTGCTGAAATGCTATATGGCCAAACTCTACGTTTACCGGGCGAAATAGTAAGCAACCCTAGCCACAGAAATATAAATCAACACGATTTCATAACCAAGCTAAGAGAACAAATGCAGAGCGTCAAGGCAACGTTGGTATCGCATCATATAGACCGAGGCTACCACATCCAACCGGATCTAAGCTCAGCCACGCATGTATTTATACGAAATGACAAGGTAAAACCACCATTGACGCAACCTTACGATGGTCCTTACCAAATACTAGAGCGAAATGACAAGACGTTTAGAATACTGATCGAAAACAAAGAACAAACAGTTAGCATAGATCGTCTTAAAGCTGCTTTCATATGTCCCGATACAGACATTGACATCCACAACAAATCAATGGTATACCACACTCCAAACAACGTTAATGGCGACCAATCTGTGCGACCAAATACAACAGCTAACCTGACAAAATCAGGACGCAACGTTCGCTTTCCAACCAAATTCAGTGACTCCATCACTTAGGGGGGAGTACTGTGGCAGCACCAAAAAATATAAATAAAAGAACTGTCAACAAGGCACAAAGGAGACAACAATAGCCGCAGTTCCCGCCAGTAGTAGTTTGGAAAAAGACAAAGCAGCACGTGAATAAGACGTAAAAACATAAATCTTAACTTTAAGAATATTTTATAATAACTAAGTATAAGAAATAAATAAACTTATCCATTACCAATACGGAGTGTTAAATTAACTTATCCATTACCAATACGGAGTGTTAAATTCGAAATAAACCCCAACATAACAAACCACTACATAAGTAACCGTTCACATAATAATGAGCTCATATATGCAGGTGACAGAACTCTTATAAACTTTTATAAATTTCACTTAATACATCACACAAAAAAATTAAATATATAATTAGTATATAAAATCATTTCAATGCATTCTATATATCAATTATATATTCAATGAATAAAAAAAAAGATTTTATTAAATACTTACTACCTTGGTGCCTTTCTTTACAGCTCAACTGTTTGTTTACATTTTAAATATAAAACATATGACACAAATTTCAAATTTTGGTAATTTCCCTTGCGGGAAATTTATTTTTAAGGGTTGCATTTTCGCCTTGAGGTGCTTACACAACAAAACAAACACTTGCGAACGAACGAACTTTTACAGATACGCTTACCTGCGAATATTCGTTCGATCGCTTTGGTGTGGGTGCACCTTTATATGAAAGATTTTTGCATAACGAATCATCGTCACTAATGGCTATAATGAACACAACCGCCTCAATAAAACAGTGTGAATGTACTATGAAAATGCTCATAATATGATTTTTTAATACAACTCTGTCAAAAAGTACTCTCTTTTCTTCTTAAACCGCATAAACTCTGTCCGGATAATTTTTAAGTCAGCTGTTATCTTTTATTTATGACTTTGATTGGATTTGCTCTAATGAAAATAATAATATTATTAACAGTTGAATAAAAAATATTAAAAATGGACATGCAGTCGTTGTTTATGAGTCAAGCTTCGTTTCTTATTTTAGATAAATATGAAAATGAATTTGAAACAATCAGTATTTTACATAATCTACCGGAGGAGAAAAGAATATCACAAACAGATATATCGAAAGATTGGTTGAGCTCATTAAGTGTTAACGAGAAGGAAGACCAAAATACAGCTGTTAAAAGCTCAGTTCACTACAGAGAAATAGGGAATAGATTCTTTGCATCAAACAATGAAAGACGCAATGTAGTAGCTGCCACTAATTTATATACCAAAGCTATTTTCGCTGCTCCTGAGAAAAGTGAAGCTCTTGCCTTAGCACATGCTAATAGGGCAACCGCTTTACAGGAACTAGGTTATTACCAGCAAGCATACGATGATTGTGAATGCGCGCTAGAGGAAGGTTATCCTTCGCATCTCATACACAAGGTATTAACACGTCAAGCATATTGTGCATGGAAATTAAAAGATGTTGATCGACTATCTACGCATTTAGATGCATTAAGTGAAAAGAAGCTAAATGAAAGTTTCATGGACAAATATAAACAATTGCGGAATGGTTTAAATGAATTACTAAAAAATAAAAATACAGAAGAATCATCGAAGCAGTGCAAAGAAGTTGTATTAGAAAAGAAATCACAACAAATGTTAGTTATATTGTATTTCGTTTTATATTAATTAATAACAAAATTTTAATATGTTTATAGCAAAACTTCACTTGACGAACGTGGACGGTATATGGTTGCCTCAGAAGACATTGGTGAAAATGAAGTAGTTTTTGTAGAACGTGCGCAGTCGATTTTGCCCGTAAATAGATTTAAAATTTGCCAGCAATGCGCAGCAACCTTAATAATACCATTTCCATGTCGCTTCTGTTATATGCAAGTCTTTTATTGTTCCTTAGAGTGCAAAAAACTTCATAAAAACATACACAGTTATGAGTGCGTAGGTTATCAAAAGCAGCTATTTGGTCATGTTGGCATAGCACATTTGGCTATGCGTATTATGCTTGAGGGATTGCCTCAATTTGCAAGAAATTTGGAATGTACTAATGCAAAGGAAATATGGGAAAGTCTAATGAATTCTAATAACTTAAAAAACATTGAATATGTTCAAAGTTTAAATATGATTACCCACTTAGGAGAAATGGCTAAAGGTGACATTGTATGGTTTGCTTTAGTAGCTGATTTACTTGTGACTTATCTCGACGAATATACAGAATTTTTCAATAATTTTTCAAAGACTGCAGCTTGTTTAAGTGATTGGAAATTAGTGACTGGTAACATAAAGTAATTTATTGCTGCGTATTTAAATTAATTTTTATAAATTTTTATCTTAGGTGCACTTATATTACGACATATTGGTCAATTAATTGTGAATGGTCACACATTTTGTTCAATTGTGGCTATGCCTACTAATCAGAACGACAATATGGAGTTTACCCTATTATCCGATGACATGTGGAATGGAGCATATAGATTGAAACTTGGATTTTTACATAAGTTTTGTAGTTATGAGGAAACAGCTGCTGCGAACCTTCCATACTTAAGTATTTGCAATCACGCATGCATACAATCGTTCCAGTCAAAGTTTTCTGGACGTTATGTCCAAACACACGCTACAAATTTCATTCCTAAAAACAAAGAGATCTTTAATTGTTATACCCTGGACTATCGGAAATCAAAACAGAAACATAGATCTGAAGACTTGAAAGACGTATATAAATTTAAGTGCAAATGCATAAAGTGTGACACTAAAAATCCTGACAAAGACTATGTAAGCGTGTTTGTTTTATTTAGTATTTTTTATTTTTATAAAAAATTATATAAATTCTCTATAATTTAGGAAGCTTTTCATCAATATCGATGTGAAAATACTGAATGCCGTAAGATATTCGTACCAAAAATGCCAAATTCAAATACACTTAATTGGTGGGATTCTATTGATGAGCTGGACTCTAAAAATGCCATCAAGTGTAGTATATGCCGCTCTAAACAAAGTTTTGAATGGTTCAATATTATTAAGAATCTGTTGAAAGTAATGTACTCCAGATCATCGAGGCACTTACTTTTTGAAACTTTCCGAAAATTGGACAATGTTTTAATTGATTATCACGAAATGAAATTATTTTTTGCTTATGCAATAGTAAGCGGCTGCTTCAATTATATTGGTATTTTTAAGTTTACTTTAAAGTGTTTATTCATTTTCTCCATTGTGTTTCTTTAGATGGTATTGGTGATAACAGCGGCGATCATTTAGGCGCTGAAGAATTTCCTAAACTAGTTGATGTGCTTAAACTTTATTTAATTGGCGTAGCTAAGCAATGTCGATATAATTCAATTGAATATGTGGCAAACATGACATACTTGTGGGACTTGATTGCAATAGGTGTATATAAATGCGACAATGTTGAAATGAGAAAAATGTTGGATTCACTTGAGATGGTTTCTGATGAAATCAAATTAATTTTTATGCACTATTACGAAGATCATTTAAAGTACACTATTAACTAACCAGAATGTATTCCTTTATTTGTTAATATAACGCATTATTGCAATTAATCGATTAAATAATCATAAAAATGTTGATAATTGGGCTTCAGAGTTACGAAACAATAGCTAATTATTTATTATATGTAAAATTATATTATAGATATATTATTACCATCGGAAGTAATATTCGAAATTTGAATGATTTAACGACGATATTCTTCATGAAATCATCAAATGAATGTAATATGTAATATTTACAAATATATAGAACAAACCAATTTTGAAAATACAATACTTTATTCTGAATCCTGTACTTATTTTAATGTGTCTTAATAACCATTTTTTTTACACAAAAGACAGTTTACTTAGAAATCCATATAATAAAAATAATGATGGAATTTTATGAAGGCATTCTATGCTAACCGAATAACTTGTTCTAATATTTTTTTACATATTGTATAAATTACAAATTTGAAAAGTTATTTAGCAATAAACCTTAAATAATTTATTAACACGGAGACGTACAAAAGTTAGTTAGTAAGAGAATTCCTTGGCAAGTGCTATGTTATGACACTAGCAGTGATATATAACTTTTGCGGTTACAGAAATAGTTTACATCCCATAGCCACTGCTCCTCGGTAACTAAGTATCGTGCATAATTTGGATTTTGACTAATCAAAATAAAATAAATTCAAGCAAGATGGAAAAACTGTCCAGATTATAACAAATACAGAGTTTTTTAATGTGTCATGTATAAACCAAGTTTTTTCAATGCATTGGCCAATGGTCATGTTCAAAATGATAAAGTAATTAATTTAAAACTGTAACGAAATATATATGTTTATATTGTGTCGCAGCTGTATTCTTTTATATTCATGAAAAAATTTCACCTGTTTGACTAATTAAAGGATTTAATGCATATCACACATTGCTAGATGTTAACAGTGATAATATTTCTATTCTAAACATTACTATATTCTTTCTTTATTCGTGAAAATCTTTATTTTTTATCAACGAGACCCTAACTTAATTAACATTAAATTAACTAACTAAATTATGGGTCAGTTGGCTAATGAAAGCTAACAAATTCAATCCCTGGTACTTGCAGGGATAATTCAAAAAATTACTCAAGAATAATTATATACAGAAAATATCCCAAAGACCACTGATGACGGGTACTTTGCAACACTTGAAATAGATGGTCAGTCAGCCAAAAATTCAAATAATTAAAATAATACAAAAACATTTTTGTTGTTGTAGTTCACTGCTTTTCAAAATTTCTTTACTAACTAAATTATTTGAGAACTTATTTTTAAAAGAAACCTAAGATTTTTGAATTTACGGCACTTTACGGACGTAACAGAATATAGAATTTACATTTACAACATATGCTCATTACGTTTTTATGCTGCTGTCAGATAAAAAGAAAACTTTATAAAGCTTTAAAGCATTTAGTAGAAAAGAGATGTCAAAACATTACCTTATGGTAACACCATAAGCCAAAAAGGAAGCTATATAGCTAAACACGAACTGTCAAAAATGACGATGAAATTCGTGAAGACGAACAAAGTTTCTTTTTTTACTTTACGATTAGAGGGGGACTTATTTTCATGTGTTGTATGTTTAGCTTAAATAATATAAATAAATATTTAAATTATATTAAATATAAATATCTAAGAACGATCACGTGTTTTAAAAGCTAATAACAATATATGAAATATATATTTTTTGTTAATTTTAAAATTTTTATGATAACGTGCAACGAAACTAAATTCTTCCACACAAAAAAAAAATTGTTGAAATTATTACGTGTAAGCCAAGGAAACGGAGAAGATAAAGAAATGTGTTAATAAGTAAACGAACACCATTAAAAACGAATATATAATTTATATTATAGTCAAATAGAAAATTGATATATTTATGAGTTCATATCCATCATTTCGAAATGTATTTGGCCCCTTCATATAAGGGGCCAAAAGCAACTATATTCCAAAAAACTTAAAATAAATGATTAAAAAACAAAAAAGGAGGGAATTATATACGAATCGTTTAATCAATTACAATTAATGCGAATAAAAATTTGATTTGAACATTGCCAAACTTTGACAAATTGGTATAAATTCAACGAAAAAACGCATAAAAATAAAAAATTAGTGCAAAAGCTAAAGCTTATTTGTCACGAAATTATTTAACGTCATCGCCTATTTACTTTATTGGCGATTTATTTTTTATTTTATTATTTTTTTATCGGCCGTGTCGTGTGTGTGATCATCACTTTTCGAAGAGCTTCATTCAGTTTCATTGAAACTGTTGAAGACAATTCGAAAAAGATTTCCACATCGTATGCTGCTGCCGTTCAATATTTAATGGAAGAGCTATGAACCTAGACCATCTAAAGTTAACACTGACGCAGATTGGTATTTTGGTCAAACAATTGAATAAGAAGAATTTTGCTGAAACCAGCGAAAATATAAATCAGGTATGATGAAACATTTTTGTTGTTTTTTTTTTTTTTCAAATTCAAGTGCAAAATTACGACCAACAGGTTTTTATTTTATTAGTTGTCAAATCGATCATTTTTGGGGTTGTTTAATATTGAAAGTTGAAAGTGCTTTGTAATACAAACTTTAATTATATTAATATCTATTACTTTTTAATTTATAATTAAATTATTTATTGCTTGTTAATTTTGATTTATTTTAGAATAGAAGTTAATTTTCACAAATGGCGGCTTTAAAAAATAAGCTAGCCTTAAAAAATCGAAAAACCAAAAGTTTAATCAAAACTTTAGAAAAATACCAGCTGAATTCTACATTCCACGTTCCACATATGTTTTTGTTTTTAATAATAACTTTCCGTAGTTTTCTATGTAAATGAAAAAGCTGTTAATTTCTTCAAGCTTATCCTATTTTTTTTATTAAACATTTCTGTATATATGAAAAAGTTTTCTTGTCCTATGTAAATAATTTATTATTATGTAGTGTATCGCTGTGTTTAGTATTAGAAATTAATCAATAATTAACGGCGAACACACTGAAGGTGGGGTCCCCACTTCTCTATACATATATAAATAGCAAATATGTTTGAAATTCGATATTGATACTTTCGAACATTTAGTTTTTATTCTGATGCGATGTACAAGTAGTAGTATTTCTTTAAAAACCATTTTTAGCACAGTTCCTGTCACTTGTTTTCGTTGAAATATAATTTAATAAGACTTCTAAATGTTTAACTAGATTTCGAATTTGATTCATATTTATTTATTTTATATATTGTTATCTTTCGCTTGAAGTTATTTTATCAAGCTTAAAATAGAATCTATAATAAGGTTTCTGTGCAAACATTTCTACTAATATTTGAATTTGACTAAAATATAAGTTCTTAATAACAGTAGATAACGAATTTGAGAGTTGTTTGTTGACTTTCTACAAAATAATAACAACAAAATATAAAAACCGTAACAAATTTATTTATCATATAAACTAACAGTTAATAGTCAATGCAAAAGCTTTATTTTACAAGTAATTTATTAAGCACAACTTTAAACAACTTAAATAATATATTTTAACAACTTGATATAATGATACCAATGGTGCTTTTAGAAACATAGATTTGTAAGAAAATGGATTAATAAACCGTATATTAAACTTTATTATAAGATTATTATAATTTTGTTTCACAGTTTGTGAAATAATTGTTAGTAATCAATTGTTTTGTATCAATTTATTAAGAAACTAAAATTAAAAGTAAACTAAAAATATATTTGTTCAGCAAAAACTAAATTTATAATTAATTATTGATGATTAAAAAATTATATATCTTAATATATATCCTTGATGGACTATATTGCTTATGAAACCTTATGTATACAGACAGATTTTATATATAAAATCAAACAAAATAAATTTTAATATATAGAGTGAGTTTATATAAAAATTTGTTGCACTCAAAAGAATATTCGTCTTAATTAATATATTTCATGGACTAAATTGCTTATGAATTCTTATACAGAGTTTTTATATAAAATTAAACAAATTAAATTTTATTATATAGATTGAATTTATAAAAAAAATTTATTACATTGAAAAAATGATATTCTTAATATATTTCACTGACGATATTGCTTATGAAATCTTTTACATACAGAGCTTGTATAAAAAATTTTATAAAGTAAAATTTATATGGAATAAACTTGTATTGCATTCAAAAGATATCCATTTTAACACATTTCACTAAGTAAATTGCTTATTGAATCTTATACATACATGCAGGGTTTTATTATATAGAATGAATTTATATAAAAATTCATTTTATAGAAAAATTATGTTCTTCTTCTGTTCCACTGACGATGTTGCTTATAAAATCTTCTACATACAAAGTTTGTATATAATATTTTAGAAACTTAAGTTAATTATATGGAATTTATTGCATTTAAATATCCTTTTTAATATATTTTACTGGCTAATTAGCTTATGAAAGCTTAAACATACTAACAGAGTTTTTTATAAAGTAAATATTGAACGCTAGTTCGATTAAAATTACTGTATATTAAACAGATTTTAACAACAATTTGCCACTTTATTCAATTTTTATTGTATTTATGCTTACAAAAAATTTTTTGCAAAAACTATTACCAAAAGAGCGGAAAGGTAATAATGACATAGTTTCCAAACACAGTACAAGTGTGTGCTCTATTTCATGCCTCGTCATTTTGCAAATGAAACAAATTTTAACGAAATGAATACGAAAAAAGTTTGATTAGTTGTCTCACTCTCTCCCATGCAAAATTTGAAAAACCATTACTCGCCGACGCCATTACAGTTTGCAAAGAAAATTTAGTGTCGTGGTTTTTGCACTCATATTTTCAAATGTATATTTTTATAATAAAATTTAAAAGAAAAAGTGTATAAAATGCATAAAATGCTGCCTAGAATTTCTATTTAATGTATAATATTGAAAACGATGATTTGCAGACTAAAGTGCTTCAAAAATTGCAGGCACACAAGGGTTCTTAATACCAAAGTTTTTTAACATAATATAGTCTTCGTTTTTGTATATTTTAACTAAATGTGCGTGTGTGTTGCTAAAATAAAATTAATAGGATATATTTTAGAAAATCGAACAAATATGTGGATAAATAAACTATATGTTTATAGACTAAAATCGTAAATTGCCGGTTGAGTGCAGACTTATAACAGTTTCCCTACTGTCTTTTGGGAACCCAGGTAAAGAAAGGATATGCATATAATTACCAATTGGCAACTTTATTAAAACAAATGTAATAGACTTCATCAGTTTTCTCCGAATATAATTGTAGCAGATGATTAACTGGGGCACCTTCTGCATGAGCTAGTTGTCTCTATTTATATCAGAAAGTGTATACATACGATCTTTGTTATACTTTCTTGTCATTAAGAGTAATAATTCGTTACACGGTATTACCAGATAATAGGATTTTGCAGAAAGGAAGTTCCTCCGATGTGTTTATTGTATTGTATATGGATAGGATTGCATTAGCACAGTGTTGTATCCACATTCGAAGCAATGGTCCGTTCTATATATGCAATTGTCTGAATATATAAATTTTAATTTTTAAATAAAAACTATTGTCCGAAAGAGGATAAGATTATGAAATAAATGAATTTGAAGTTATTATTTCGTTAATCGGATTTAAGTTTTATTTCTTAAAAATCAAGCATTTTTCAAAGAAGCGCAATTTATTTTATATAAATTATATTTGATATATATGTATATATTACCTTATGTTTCTAATAATGATGCGCACGCAGGGTAAAAGTCCGTTAATCACTGTTCCGTTATGCGCAGATTGTTTACAGTTGGTTTCTTAAAAATCGCGGCTGCACCAGTTCAAGACACTAACCTATTAATGGAATATAATTTTGTTTGTATTTTGTATTAAACTTTAAATTATTATTAAAAATTATTGCTAGATATCGCTAGACAATTGGTTTAGTTATATATAAAATAATAGATCTAAGCTAGACCTGAGACTCATTAAACTCAAAATAATAAATTCTGCCTTTCAGATTATCGACGAATTTGGTTTGGAGGCGGATCGCCATTGTCTGCGTTGTTTGTTTTCCATAATAAACTTTGCAGATGCGACATCTTTAACCACACAAGTACAGGCAAACTTTCTAGGCGTACAATTGGAAAAACAACTGACCAGGGCACCAGTCATATCGAATATCTGTTTTGCAATAGATAACTGTTTTCCAACACAAAAAGTATTATTATTTTATTAAAAAAATTTTTATTTGTTATTATTTTGTAAGCTGTATTTGTATCATTTAGACACTTAAACCAACAGCACAACTAATTCCGCAAATAGTCAAGTTAACTGGCATCAATAAACTTTGTGAAAGTGTTTTATCCTTGGCACTAACACATTCTTCACAAAGTGATTTGCGTAAATTTGCTAATGAAAATTTAAAAAAAGCCTTTCCGGAACTAATCGAATCATACCTTGGGAAAAGTAAAGCTACAGCGGCTCTTGTCAGCAGCTTATATGACGTATCACTCGATTTATTACAATTATTGCTAGTTTCATTAGATGAGTACGTACCCACGGAATTGGTGTGGCAATTTTTGAAAAAGCTGCAAGAGGAATTTCCCCTTGAACGTGTACCATTGATTCTGGCACCATTTTTATACCGTGTCTCCGCAACTAATTGCGTTGATGAATTAAACATAAATCAGATTAATGGAGAGGGTGAAGTTTTGACAGAAATTGGAATAGAAGAGATCTATGATAATTTATGTGAAACATTTCTTACAACCCAGGTATAATATCTAATATTTATATATATTGTTTAATTGAATCCAACTTTTTTTAATATTATTTTTAGGGCAATTGTATTATGGACACATCCTGGATTAATTTAATCCTGGAAATCGGATATGAATTCACATCAAGTGTTGACGAATGTAAAAATCATTTGCGCTGTGGTTCTCGAGATCTTCAACCACAAGATGTGGCTAAAATTATTGGGCTCATGTGCAGGAGGCAGAGCTCTATACTCGATTGCAATGTAAATTTACCAACTCCGGCCAACTTTTGGCCAGGCCAACCGGCACAACAACAACAAAATGTAGCAAACAATAATGATGGATCCAGTATAAGCAGTCTAGATAAGTCTACAAATTCCAGCGATAAGAAAGATAAATCTGCAAGTAGTAGTGGTAGTTCAATTTCAACAAATGAAACCACACAAGCATGGAAACCTGACGTGTTCGTACAGGCATTAAAAGAAGTAGTACCTCAGTTGAGTTGGAAAGATGTATTTTTAGGTAAATTGATTATATTATTTTGAAAAATTGCGTTTTTTAATAATAAAATCGGATTTTTATTTTATTTTAATAGGTCTTGATCATCAAGAGTTCGTACTTAAAGACCGAATTGGTTTAGATCTTCTTCTTACCATATTTCGCTTAGGCACACAAACCGCAGTATTTCCATATCCAGATTGCATTTATCGTCATTGGCAAAATGTGGAAGCTCAGTTCTCCCTTGTAGCAGTGATGTTAAAAAATCCTGATATATTTTCATTTGCTGACTACATTTTCTCATCGTCGCCAGTCGAACTGCTTAAAACGGCACCAGATATTGAAAACAAAGAAATATGTACTTGGAAATCGTTACACTTAATAGATGTATTACTATATGTTGCGGATCAAGGATACTACAGTCAAGTACATGAAATATTTAAATTTCCAATGCAACAATGTCCGGATGTGTTATTTTTATCATTGCTGCATCTTTCGCCGCCACTGACAGCTTTACGTCAAGAGTTATTTAATCAGTTAATACCAACATTTTTGACAAACCATCCGAATTCTAGTGTAATATTAGCTAGTGCATGGAATTCTGTAAATTTTGGACATTCTATAAGATCTGTTATTATGCATGCTATGTCCGAATGGTATTTGCGTGGCACAGAATACGATCAAGTAAAATTATCACGCATATTAGATGTGGCGCAGGATTTGAAAGCACTGTCTACACTTTTGAATGCACGTTCTTTTTTATTTGTTATTGATTTGGCATGTCTGGCATCTAGAAGGGAATATTTAAAACTTGAAAAATGGCTTGGTGATAAAATACGAGAACATGGCGAAGCTTTCATACAATCAATGATAAAATGCTTACAACGCAGATGCCCTCAAATAGCAAACGCCAAAATACCCAACGATCAACTGCCTCCAAAACCGGCACAACTGCCACCTGAAACAATATCAACCATGCTGTCTTGTTTACAATCATGCATTGGAAGTGTGCCACCTGAAGTTGCAGAAATTATTATGCAAATGTCAACAAATTGTTCTATCATAGCAAATAAAGCCAGAGCTGCACAACAACAAGGCCCACAGGGTCCACAAGGTTTAGTGCCGTTACAAGGAGTAATGCGTGGTCTTCGTGGTATGGAAATGGGTGGAGGAGTTCCAGGAGTACCGCCTCCTAGCTTTTCGGGAAATATCAACGCGCAAACTGGGTTTGGTCCAACAATGGATGCTATATCTAATTTATCTACAAATGTAGGAAATTTGAATTTAAATGGTCCAAATGGTGCATTTAATTTCGGAAACGCATTAGGTTAGTTAAATATAATTTTATGCATAAAAATTATTTAATGCTGAATGTAATTTTAGGAAATTTGGTTTCAACACCAGCGTCCCCCTCACGACTAATGAATCCAACGCCTATACCATATTCTATGATGCAAGTGCAAGGAGGCCCACCAAATGTAAACAGTTTAAATCGTATGCCTCCAGCAGCTCCACAGCCAACACCGCCTAATCCGAACAATCCAGTTATGGGTGATTTGCAAACACCTGTTTCAAAAGAAGTCGAAGATGAAGCAAATTCGTATTTTCAACGCATTTACAATCACCCCCCACATCCAACGCTCACAATTGATGAAGTGCTCGACATATTACAGCGATTTAAAGAGTCGAATAATCGACGTGAGCAGGAAGTGTATCTTTGTATGCTGAGAAATCTCTTCGAAGAATATCGCTTTTTCCCACATTATCCAGACAAAGAATTACAAATAACAGCACAGCTCTTTGGTGGTATTATCGAACGAAATTTAGTACCCACATTTGTAGCTATGGGACTAGCTTTACGCTGCGTTTTGGATGCGTTGCGCAAACCTGAAGGTTCAAAAATGTATTATTTTGGTATAACGGCACTCGATCGTTTTAAGACTCGTTTACACACATATGACAAATATTGTGAATTTATACGTTCTATACCACACTTTCAGGAATTTCCACCACATTTAATACATTACGTAGAATGTGGATTTCTTTCACAGGAACCAAATCCAGCAAAACTACAAATGCTAATGGCGGCAGCTGCCGCGAATAACTCAGCTCCACAACAACCAACATCTGAGTCTGTATATCGCAGCAATTCAGTAACTGGTAAGTAAAATGATATAATAGAACTAATTTGGAATATATGTATGTATGTATATATGTATATGTAAAAAGTAACCTAAAAATATCGTATCATTTTTGTAAAAATTGAAATTCATGCTTTCAATAATTAAAAAAAAAAATTTTTTTTAAACATCAAAAGTTTTGTTTATGCCAAGGAAATATCAAAATTTATTTGTCTTATTTTGCCAAAGCATTTTTCTTTTGTTCGATTTCACCAATGATCAATACGCAGCGCCGTTTTCACAGTATTAAGTTGGATTCTAAATTGGATGCTAAATTGGAATCATCTGACAATGATCACATCTGCATTTAGAACAAATATTCCTCTCAACCGTCGAAGTGTTAGAAAATTTTGTAGATAGTTTCGTTTGTTTCATTATAAAATGCTAGGTTGGTTGTCGAAAAATAACATAAATGTAAAAAAAAATGCGCAAATTCATCACTTCAAAACAGTCGCTTATTGCTTCTTACACAAAATCAACAAACCTGATTTAATTGCCTGGTAGAATAAATTTTAAAATTATTTTACAAAAATTCTTACTTGAATATCACTTTTTTTTATTTATTTAATCACTGAATTGTCACATTTCTATGGTGGTATTCCCAAATCTAACTTTGTTACTTAATTACAAAAAGATGTCTGCCAAACTATATCCAGTGCTGCCATATGCGTATAAAGTTGCAAAGTAGTAGGCGACATGACACGAACTTCAAAGTTTTGCTTAAAATATGAACACTGCAAAGCATTTTTTTACATCCATTACATGCATCCATCTATTTTAAACAGATCTATTACTTTATGGTGCTTCCTTTTCATTGAACTGTAGAGGATGACGCGCATTTGCTTTATTCACACATAGAATTTGTTTTCTTCGTATAAGATTAAAAATTAAAAAATAAATTTATTAATGTATATAATTTCTTGCTAGGAAACGTGGTTACAACTCCAACACAGCAAAAAATGGTGGTGGCTCAATCAATTCACGCCTCCCGCGTAAAATCTATTGCTACAGCAACAAATATCGACACGCTTTTAGTTGCTAACCAAGAGGAAAAAATCACGGTACCTCCGGAGGCCGTGCAAGATAAGACCGCTTTTATATTTAACAATTTAAGTCAGTTAAATATACCACAGAAATGCGAAGAAATAAAGGAAATAATGACAAAGGACTATTGGCCGTGGTTAGCTCAGTACCTTGTACTAAAGCGCGCTTCAATGGAATTCAATTTTCATCATTTATACTACAATTTTTTAGAAGCATTGAAGAATGCCGATATCAATAAATTTGTAACAAAGGAAACATTGAGGAATATAAAAGTGTTGCTGCGCTGCGATAAAGGCATGGGAAATTTCTCAGACAGAAGTCTCTTAAAAAATTTGGGTCACTGGCTTGGTATGATAACTATTGGTAGAAATCGTCCAATACTCCAACTCGATTTGGATTTAAAATCGCTGCTAGCTGAAGCGTATCATAAAGGTCAACCTGAATTATTGTTTGTGGTACCGTTCGTTGCCAAGATCCTGGAATCAACACATAAATCAAAAGTTTTTAAATCTCCAAATCCATGGACTATGGGTATTATGAATGTGTTAGGTGAACTTCATCAAGAGCCTGAACTAAAACTAAATCTTAAGTTTGAAATAGAAGTGCTTTGTAAAACGCTTGGTTTGGATTTAACAAAACTAAAACCGATTATATACTTAAAGGATCCATCGCGCTCAATAAATATAGAACATCAAATGTCGCAACCAAAACCAAAAATAATAGATAGCGCTCCATCGACACAACAACAACAAACGCAGCAACTGCAACATGCGCCTCCACAACAACCACAACCTCAAATTACTAATGAAGTTGACGCTCAAGCAATGCTAATAAGTGCAGCAAATAATGTACCAGGAGGTGCAATACCATCTCCCAGTATTGCTAACGAAACAACAGGGCAGGTGATGATACCAGCACCAGAGCCACGGTATTCGTATTTGGAGATAAATGTTGCAAATTTCCAAATGGTTGCACCACATATAGTTATGTCACCTAATATAACTTTTTTGCATGCAAATCCAGCTTTTAAACATATTTTGTTGAACGCCATTGAACGTACCATTACCGAATGGATGCAACCAGTTGTAGACCGGAGTGTACGTATTGCTGCGTCCACAACCGAGCATATTGTGCGCAAAGACTTTGCGCTAGATGCAGATGAAAATCGTATGCGCATTGCAGCACATCAAATGGTCCGAAACTTGGCCGCTGGCATGGTAATGATTACTTGCAAAGATCAACTATTGCAATCCCTTAATAGTAACGTGCGGAAGGCATTTTTGGCAACTGTTAGTGGTAGCCCCTCATATCAGGAAATTGAAAGTGCATCTCTGCAGTTGGCGAGTGACAATGTAGAAATTGCTTGTGCGTTTATACAGAAAACAGCAGCTGAAAAGTCAACTCCAGAAATTGATCGACGCTTAGCGCCAGATTTTGAAACGAGAAAAATTGCACGAGAAGAGGGAAGGTAAGTAAAATGAAACACAAAATTAAATTCATTTGTATTTATATGTTTTACATGAAAACTTTTGTAGTCGATTTTTTGATCCTCAAACGTTGGCCTATCAAACGGAGCGGATGCCTGAACATATACGACTTAAAGTCGGTGGAGTTCCACCAGCGCAATTTGCTGTATATACAGAATTTGCTAGGAATATACCTGGATTCCAACTTTTGAGTGATAGAGACGTAGCATTATATTTGCCTAAGCCACAAGATATGCCACCAGCTTTTGCCACAGATGAACTCGGTCTTATATATGCGGAATTAGCCAGTAAAATGGAAACATTTTTGAATAGCACAGTCAATATTTCCAGTTTACAACTGCAAGCTAGTAAAATGCATACATTATTGAACTCACTAATGGTAACCAGACGAATACGTGATAACGACTCTGCGCTTGTATTATTAACGAGAACGGTAGAGGGACTAATCGAAGGTCTTATAAATGTACCAGAACATGTTGAACAAATGAAATTGTATCGTGACATACATTTACGTATTTTATCAATACTACAAAATACATTTGGTGTTCCATCAACAGAGCGCGCAATTACTAAGTGTTTGTTCGATATAAGAGAAGATGTGCGGTACAATGTTGATGCAGTTAAATTGTTGTTAACATCACATTTTGTTAATGTCTCCCAATTCGATGCACTCTTACGTGAAACCATGGATAATGGTAATAATTATTTGGCCGTGTCATTTGCTATGACCCTGATGGAACGTTTATTGGTCGATGAACGTTCAAGTCCAATGGTAGCGGAAACAGAATTTATTACCACAATCGAAATGCTCGCACGTCTATCACAACATCGTCACCGTTATCCAGAAGCATTAACACATTTAATTGACATGCTTTGGGGTGGCAGCAGTAATGCAGAGCCTGGACAATTTTTAGCGTCTGACCGTTTTTTATCAGGAGCAACTCAATATATACACTCTGGGATGCAGCATGTTAGGGTGCGTTTTTCATAAGATGTATTTTATTTATACATGTATAAATGTTGTATATATATGTAGTTTAAGACCATAGTTAAATATTGAATTTGAACTTTTTTGTTTGTTTGTTTTCGTTTAAAAGTTCTATGGTCTTTTTCCTATAATGATTTTCTTTTTTCGTAGTTGTAATAAAATATTTAATTTTGCGTTTATATTTATTTCTTTTAAAGTCCAACGACTGTGAAGATCCTCCTGGCCTTCAAGAAAAAACAGAATTTTTGCTCAAAGATTGGGTATCCATCTATTCGCAATCCAATACTGTTACGCGCGAGACAAAAAATTTTGGTTCATTTGTTCAAAAAATGAATATGTATGGCATTCTAAAAACCGATGATCTAATAACTCGCTTCTTTAGACAAGCTACACAATTTTGCATCGATCTCGTTTATCGCATACTCAGTGATCAAACACATAATCCAGCTCAAGTAAAAGCGAAAATATTTCATTGGATCGACGCATTTGTGCATTTAATAGCTTTGTTGGTTCGACACTCTGGAGAAGCAGGAAATCCAACAACTAAAATTAATTTATTGAACAAAGTGCTAGGTATTGTACTTGGAATTTTATTGAAAGACCAGGATATAAGGGGCAACACATTTTCTCAGTTGGGTTATCACCGGTTTTTCCTGATGCTCTTTCTTGAGTTAAGTGTGCCAGATACTGTGCTAGAAAGCTTGATGCATAGCATAGTTACTGCTTTTTCACACACATACCATCTGTTGAATCCAGTATCTGCGCCAGGCTTTTGTTATTCTTGGATAGAGTTAATATCTCATCGAACATTTATCGGTCGTATACTCGCTCAAATAGCACAACAGAAAGGTTGGCCGCTATATGCCCAACTGCTGATGGACTTATTTAATTTCTTAGCACCATTTTTAAGAAATGCGGAATTGGCGAAGCCCGTACAAATCATGTACAAGGGAACGCTCCGTGTTTTATTAGTGTTACTGCATGATTTTCCAGAATTTCTATGTGATTATCATTTTGGTTTCTGTGATGTTATCCCTCCAAATTGTATACAAATGCGCAACATAATATTAGCTGCTTTTCCACGTAATATGCGACTACCAGATCCATTTACACCTAACCTTAAAGTGGACATGTTAAACGAAACAGCAACAGCACCGAAAATTTGCTCCAATTATGTAACAAATATACAACCGGGAAATTTTAAAAAGGATCTCGACTCATATTTAAAGGCGCGCGCTCCAGTAACATTCCTATCGGAGCTGCGAAGTCATTTACAAATATCTAACGAACCCGGTTCACGCTACAACATTCCGCTGATGAATGCTTTGGTTTTATATGTGGGTACACAAGCTATCGCACACATAAGGTAATATATTATAGATAATAAACAATATATTTGAATTAAATATAATATTGTTAATATAATATTAATTTTGATTTTATTAAAAGTAATTAAAAAAAAAAAAAAAAATTTATTTCAGAAGTAAAAACTGTGTGCCAAGTACTTCCAATATTGCACACAGTGCCCACATGGATATATTCCAAAATTTAGCAGTTGATCTGGATACTGAAGGGCGTTATCTGTTTTTGAATGCGATTGCCAATCAATTGCGTTATCCCAATAGTCACACACACTACTTCAGCTGTGCTGTTTTACATCTTTTTGCTGAAGCTAATACTGAAGTAATACAGGAGCAAATCACACGTGTATTACTAGAACGACTTATTGTCAATCGTCCACATCCGTGGGGATTGTTAATTACATTCATAGAATTAATCAAGAACCCTATATACAAATTCTGGGATCACGACTTCGTACATTGTGCACCTGAGATTGCAAAGTAAGTAACAATATTTTATTATATAGTTTATGGGGGTAAATTATAATTATAAGGTTATTATCTGGATAAATTGGAAACGAATAGGTTCGGTTATTTATTATTTATTTTAATAAACAAAAAAGAGGTAGTTGTTGTGTTTCGTTAGATATTCTGTTTGCGATAAGAATAAAATCGGTTACTCTATATATTCGTATTCCATTAGTCGCTCTACTGTTTAATTCTAAGTGTTGCGTGAAAAAGGTAAAAGGCAAAGAAAACCTCATGGAAATTAGGTGATGAGTTTTCTTTATTATTAAGTTAGCTAACTCCATTTCTTTGATATTTACATCCTGTCGTATTTATAAACAGAATATTTTTCCAGATTATTTGAATCTGTTGCACGATCTTGTATGGTTAAGTCCAGTCATCAGCAGCAGACAGGTAATAGCGATGGCGATAATTCGGAAAGTATATCTTAGGAATGCTGTTAAATATTCAGCAGTGCTTGTGAGACACAGAAAGCAGGCAAGCCAAGGAGCTTGCTTTCTTGCTCTTCCACCACTGTTCTGCTACAACTACTGCTTTCCACATGTTAATGGAAATCATAGAAATAATTATGATAATTATGATTCTGTGTAATTCGTATTGGAATTAAGATCAATTTTATTATATTTATACATTTTATAATTTTAACATTTAGTTTATGTTGTAAGTAGTCTTATAATCAACAAAGAATATATGTTTAAGGTTTAATTGTAATATAAAATAATTAAAAAATTAAATTGTTACATATTATAAAGCCTATACATAAAAAATTGTAAAAATTTAAAGTTTTAACAAAAGGAATATCACACCTCAAACTTAATTTAAAAGAAATTTAAATTAAAACTAAAATTTTACAAAAGAAAACAAAAAAAATCGTAAAACTTAAAATTCAAAAATTAACAATTTTATGTAAATAAATGTAATAATTAAAAAAACAATGAATATTTCAATAAAAAAAATGAAACATTTTCAATCTTTAATCAATGGTGTAAGATTACTGAAAATAATTAAACGTCGCATGAATCCAAACCAAATCTACAGATACACCACACGCCACAAGGCAATTGCAACAACTTGCATTGAAAATATCTCAAAACCGAAACAGTTGATTATGTGAAGAAGAAATACAATGCAATTCAAGATGATTAATTAATTAATAGTTTTTAATTCTCTATAAACATTTTTACGCATTTTAGCAAAAATTATAAAGACCGAAATAAAATGTATATGTGTATTTCATGTTTGGTTGGTTGGTTATTAGCTCAGTCTGTCATATTAAAAGAATTCTCTCATGGACTCATTCGATAAATACAATTTTCATTTTATCTAATTAATTACGAAATCATTTTTTTTTTCGTTTTTCCATTTTTCCATTTTCACTTCCCTCCAAAATTCCCTGAAAAAAATTTTAGCTAAAAACTTTAGAAAATTTTTAAAACGCAAACAATAAATAAATTAAGTTAATATGAGACAACCTTAATTTTTCAAAAAGAAAATGTTTAAGATTATAACAAAGAAATTGTAATTAATTAATATATAAAATATAAAAAATAATTTTAAAAAATATAAATTAAATACATATATATTAAAAAAATTTAAAGTTTTTTTGTTGCATGCGCTCGAAAATTTTGAATAAATCTTGACTTACAGATTGGTTGGTGCTGGTATTCTTACTCATAATTAAGTAAAATTAAATTTTTAAAATTTTTATTTCGGTTCTTTTTTTTATTTTTTTGTTTTCATTTTAATAAGAGGTGAAAACAAAAACAAAAACCAAGCCCACACACAAACACATCCACTTAATACACAAACACATATTTTGAAATTTTTATAAAATTTAATAATTATTTTATATTATTTTTTATATAAGTATTTTATTATAAATTTTTACATAATTATCTTTTATAACCATGTACTCGTAACTTTAGTTATATATTTATATTATTATATTATTTATATTTATAGTTATATATTTTTAAAATATAATTTTTTTTTATAATTTTATTTTATTTTAAAATTTAATATTTATTTATTTATTTAATATATATTTATTTATTTAATATATATTTTTTTGTTTAATATTTATTTATTTATGAATGTATGAAAAGAACATTATATAACTTAGCTTAAGTGATATAAATTTAAGAGTTTATTTTAGACAATCCATATATTATTGCCAAATTAGAAAATTATTTTACTTTAATTAATTACATATATTATAAAATTTTTATGTAGTGATAAAATTTTTATATTACTATGTACTATATATAACTTTAGTTATATATATTTATATTATGCTGAAGGATCTATTAATGTAAAGTTAAGAAAATTATTTTACGTTTTCTTTAACTTTACTTAAGTTAACATTTTATTATTTAATTATTATTATTTTGTTATTATTATTTTGTTATTACTATTTTGTTATTATTATTTTGTTATTATTATTTTTTTATTATTATTTTGTTATTACTATTTTGTTATTATTATTTTTGTTATTATTATTATTTTATTATAATTATTTTATATTGTTTTATTATAATTGTTTTATTATCATTATTTTATTATTATTATTTATTATTATTATATTTATTATTATTGTTTTATTATTATTTTATTACTATTATTTTATTATATAACCTAATTATGAATTTTATAGTTATTTTATGTTTTGATGAGATCTAGATAATAATTTCTTCATTTTAGTTATATATATTTAAAAGTTTTTTTACAGAATTATTAATATTGAGGTAAGAATTTTACATATAATATCAAAATTTTTTATAATATAAAGACCAAAAAAATTTTTTTTTTAAATAATTTTGTTATTATTTTTATATACGGACTTATTGGTCAACAGTTAAATAATGATCTTTTAAAAAATATTTATTTGTTTTTAAAGATTTTATTTTTACCAATATTTCGACTATAATCTATAGTCATCATCAGGGTACTATACAATTTAAATACATGTAACAAAAAAAATAACAGAATTATTTTTAATCAAAATTTTTTATTAATATTTTATCCTACTATAAAACTTTAGTTACATATATATAATAATATCGTTAAATAATTGTTTTGTATTACTATTTAACTGTAGTTATTTATTGTATAATTTAAAATTATAATAAATATAATTATATACTTATAAGTATTTATTAAATAATAAATAAATTTATTTATTATTCAATCATTTTTTTTTAAATTTTAATTAACAATTTAAATTTATTAAACAATAAATAAATGTATTAAATAACAAATAAATTTATTAAACAATAAATAAATTTATTGAATAATAAACAAATTTATTAAATAATAAATAAATCATATATTATTATTATATAAGTTTAGTTACGTAAATTATAAAATTAAAAAGTTTTTGCAAATTATAGAATTATTTTATATCATAAGTTATATTAATTTAGAAATTTCTATATAAGTATTTTAAACAGCTGTAGTTATATATTGCATATTATAAAATTTCTAAATAATTAATTTATATTACTATATAACTTTACTTATACATGTTATAAAATTTTTGTATTATTATTTAATATTACTATAAGATTTTAGTTATGTTATAAAATTTTTAAATAATTTTTTTATATTAAAGAAAATGTTAATGATATCGTGGTAAAAATATTACTTCAGTCTAGTTATATATATTATACAAATTTTATATTTATTTATTTACACATTTGTTAACAATTATTTTTATTCGAAAATTTTATTTATGATGTCAAGGTAAGAAATTTATTTGCTTTAACTTTAGTTATACAGTAGACGTGCAGTATAACGAATCCTAATTAAACAGAATCTTAATAACTATTCTATATAAGAAATACATAACTCGTCAAATAAAAGTCAGTGGCTTAGATATATTGTAGACAAAAAAAAACAAATCGGAAAGAAAATCAATCGCTGAAATAACGCCTAAACGTCTAAAATAAATCCTGTAAATACGTAAAGCTTCTATACCGAAAATCATGTACGTTGTATCAAAATTTTTACAAAACCAACAAAAGGAAGCATTTGAATAACTATAGGAGACCACCTGGAAACAAATGGGTTTGAGTTCTTTTAAAAAATTAAGTTTCAAAAAATAATAACTGAATTACTAAAAGCTATAGTTTTGTATTTAATGCTTCTTTGGATTTAATAAAAAAGTTCTGCAAGTAATGATTCGTTAACGTCTACTGTAAATATTTTAAAGTTTTTAGATTAGAGCATATATAGATACCGAGGTAAGAAACTTATTTTACGACTTTAGTTATATATATAATATATTTTTGTATAAATATTTTATTTTAGAAAATCTATTGATGATGTTGAGGTAAGAAAAAATCACACATTTATCTTTTTCAAAAACACGATATGCTGCTTTCGTATTTTATTTTTAAGGTTAACAAATAGTATTAAATAATAATTATGTACTTTAAGCATTTTTTAATTATTGTTGCTTATGTGCTCGTATATTGTTTATCGTTTTTTTTTTAATTTTAGTTTTTGAATTATGTGGAATCCATTGGATTGTATCCAGTGGATTTTAGCTTGTTAATAAATTTTGATCGTTTTACATAATATTGCATAGTTTTAGCCAAAATAATTTAGCATGAACACAAATCAGTTCAGATATTTATGCTTAATATATTTTAACCCTTTAGTGAATGTTATTTATTCAGCTTGTGTTTATTTTATAATTTTTTATAGATCGATTATTGACATCATACAGCCTTGGTTGATTTTTTTTTATTTTTGTTTAATATGCCCTAAGTGGATATTATTTAATAACCTGGTATAAATATTTTTACGTCTTATATAGATCAATTATTATTAGTATTTAGTTTGAGTTTTTCTTTATTAATCCTTAGTTTATTTTGACCCTTAATTGGTATGTGCTTAGTAACTTAATTTCTAATTTTAACTCCTGCATAGATCGGACATTGTCAGTATGAGTTAATATTTTTTGTCAATAATCGTTATTAGAACTATTTATGTAATTTAAATACAAATATATCAATTAATTGCATTTTCTTTTTATAGAATAATCAGATATATTTCCAATATCCAGCCACTTCGTCCAAATTGGCGCACTGAAAATATCAATGGGAAACGTTTGGCAAATAATGCATTTACGTTGTGGTAATGACATCCATTACCACGCTGACTTTAAAGGTAGGTAATTATATTTATTTATACTTTATTAATTTTAATATTTATTATAATTTAAGAAATGGAAGTTTAAATCAAACATGAAAAGTAATTATTTACGAAATTACTGGATTTGTACTTATATAATTGTTGCATATAGATTTGTATATGTATGCATACACATAAGAACTATGTGTATGGTTCTAATGTGTATGTATATATATATGAATTATATTATGTATATTAATGTATATGTGATATATATACAACACATATAGATTAATATATGTATAGGCAATATATAAACATGAAATTATATAAACCTAACACTAATACCAGAAGGGAAAACAATAATATATACAATAATATATCTCATTTGAAGT